ACATTAAACGGTGGCTTCCACCCTTCCAGAGTGAGGAGCCCCACATGGAGTACATGCCTAAAACATTACTCACTATCAACTTCTTTTTCAATTAATTTTATAATTAATTATTGAGCACTTACAGTATGTTAAACCTTTTTGTGATGCCAAAATGAATAGGTATGAGGCAATAAGACAAAATTCCCTTTCTTGATAGAGTTTATATGCTGTGGGACAGAAAGAAAAGACACAAGTATTGCTGGAGAGCTTTTTCTCCAGGTCCCACCAAGCCCCGCAGTACCACAACCCACATATAAAATAATCACTCAGATGCTTATATTACTTATAAACTGTATGGCCATGGCAGGCTTCTTGCTAATTGTTCTTATATCTTAAATTAACCCATTTCTATATATCTATACCTTACCACGTGGCTCATGGCTTACCAGCATCTTCACATGCTGCTTGTCATGGCGGCGGCTGGCAGTCTCTCCCTCACTCAGCCTTCCACTTCCCAGAATTCTCCTCTCTCCTTGTCCTGCCTATACTTCCTGCCTGGCCACTGGCCAATCAGTGTTTTATTTATACAGAACGATATCCACAGCACACAAGTCAATAAATAATGAGTCCAGAGGAGAGGATTGGGTCCTTGGGGACCTGGAGTCACAGGCAGTTGGGAGTTACTCAATTTGGGTGCTAGGAAGCAGACTGACACTCCTGGAGAGCAACCAGTGAACCGACTTCCAGCCCACTGGTTATCTTTTATTTGGGTCTTACCCTTTCAATCCCCCTGCCTGGGCCTTCTGAGTTCTGAGATTAAGATGGGAGTCATTACCTCATCTTTACAAACTGTACAGTAAGCATTGACATTTTTTTTTTTTTTTGGTTTTTCAAGACAGGGTTTATCTGTGTAGCTTTGCTCCTTTCCTGGAACTCACTCTGTAACCCAGGCTGGTCTTGAACTCACAGACATCCGCCTGCCTCTGCCTCTCGAGTGCTGGGATTAAAGGCATGTGTCACCACCGCCTGGCTCATTAACATTTTTTACTTTTATTTATTTAGTGTGTGTGCACAAGTGCCATAGCATGTGCTCACCTGTGTGTGTGCATGTGTGTGTGTGTGTGTGTGTGTGTGTGTGTGTGTGTGTGTGTGTGCACGCACGTGCGTGTACATGCCATAGCATGCATGTGGAGGTCAGAAGACAACTTTCAGGAGTGGGTTCTCTGCTTTCACCATGTGGATTCCAGGGATAGACCTCAGATCATCAAGGCTTGGCGACAAGTGCCTTTACCTGCTCAATATCCTCACTGGCCCTTAAAGTTTATTTTACGCTTTATTTACTGAAAAAGCCCCTTTCAGTTCTTAATCTCAGCAAGAAAGTTACCTTGAGATGTTATCTGCGGGTTGACATTTATAAACCATTGGAAGTTTCCACTTTTCCCTAGCTGCTATTAATTTGCCTTCCAGGGCTGCTAGTGGAGGACGGCAGCCAGAACAGAACTGACAGCCAGTGTTTTCCTTTCGGGCCCTGTGCGGGGACTTTGTACCCTCTTTAAGTCTTACTTGATGTCTTTATGTTGAACAATACAGAGTCACCCTCCCCAAGTAGTTTCTGCAAACCAACTCGCTGTCATTTTGTTTTTGCTGTTCCCAAACTCTCTCTTGGTAAGAAAGATCCATCCTCTACAATGCGAGTTCATCCCTCAAGCGCTCATTCGCATAAGCACGCCTGCCCTCTTGTGTCCAGAGAGGCTGCTACAGCAGAAGGGAGTTAGCAAACCTGCTATGTAGGAGCACTGGTTCTAGGACAGGGATCTTCCTCCCAGGGCTTGCTCACCGAGGCCGCGCACGCTTGTACACTTTGGGCACTGCTAAGGGAACTAAGAAATGAATGAGATGTTCCTGAAAACTGACCCACCCTCTGTCCTGTGCCTGTGTCTTCCCAGGAAATTGCATTCAAGGGTACCATCCAGCCTGTATAGACTGGAGCAGATAACTCACTCTGGCTTCTGAATCTCCTTGTGTAAGCTAATCCACCCTGTGGGAAGCTCATTAAGTCAGTTGGACATTCTCTTACCATTTCACAGTCTTACTCTGAGACTCTGGGAATTAAACTTAGATTGTGAGAGGCAGATGGTGTCACGCACTCTCGGGCTATCAGAAGGGAAATGGCCATTGCCAGGTTTGGTGTGAGCTGTGCATGTAATTGAAATGCAGTCTCGGCTCACAAGCCATTTTGTTCTCATTTATTGAGGAAGATAAGAGTTTCATGTGGCCCAAGTTGGCCTTGAACTTGCTGTGTAGCTGAGGATGACCTTGAACACGTGGTCCACTTTTCTCCACCTCTGAGGCACTAGATCTCCAGATGTGACCACCACACCTGGCCATGCTTCCAAGACTTTGCCTTGATGTGACCCCCCTTATTGGACCTCCACTCTTCCTAGTCCATTCCAAGCTCCTAATGGTTGCGCAACGACATACATCATTCTGTTGGTGTGGTTTTAGGTGTTACATGTATGTTCTTTTTGTACATAAGAAGAAAGACATTTATTTTAGTGTTTTAGGAGAGAGAAAATGAAAATCAAACTCCTGTTTCTTTAGATATTAATGTATATGAAAAGGCTAATATATTTTGAGTGTAAAAAGGAAGTTAGTATAAAGAAAAGTATTGAGTAACATATGTTAAAGAGTTTGAGTTAGTCATTCACAATGTGTACATTTATTTAAATATCAGATGTACTCCATAGATATATACAATTTTATCTTTCAGTTAACAAACCCAAACAAGGGAACCCCCAGGGATGGTTCAATGGTTAAGAATACTTGCTGCTCTGTAGAAGACCTAGATTTAGTTCCCACCACCCACATGGCAGCTCACAACTATCCGTAGTTCCAGGCTCCAGGGGTTCTAATGTCCTTTTCTGGCCTCCTCAAGCACTGAACATATGTGGTATAAGGTATATACATACATGCAGGCAGACTATTCATACACATTGTGTGTGTGTGTGTGTGTGTGTGTGTGTGTGTGTGTGTGTGTGTCTGTGAGAGAGAGAGAGAGAGAGAGAGAGAGAGAGAGAGAGAGAGAGAGAGAGAGAGAGAGGAGAGAGAGAGAGGAGAGAATTTGCTTTTCAAGACAGAGTTCTCTGTGTAGCCCTGACTGTCCTGGAACTCACTCTGTAGACCAGGTAGGCCTAGAACTCAGAGATCTGCCAGCTTCTGCTTTCCAAGTGCTGGGATTAAAGGCGTGCACTACCACTGCCTGGCTAAATTTAAAATATCCAAAAACTATAATACTAAAAGCCAGCAAGATGGGTAAAGATGCTTGTTTTGAAATCCTTGGAACTCATATATTTTTGGTTGTGAGCCTAGCCTTTAACGGCTGAGCCATCTCTCCAGCCCCTTGGAACTCATATAAAGGTGGAAAGAGAGAACTGTTGATTAGAGTTCCTACTGTTATGATAAACACTGTGACCAAAAGTATGTTGGAGAGGAAACGATTTATTTCAGTTCACAGCCTACAGTCCATCACTAAAGGAAGTCAAGACAGGAACCTGGAGGCAGGAACTGAAGCAGAAGCCATGGAGGAGTGCTGCTTCCTGACTTGTTTAGTTTGATTTCTTATGTATATCAGAACCACCAGCCCAGAGATGGCACCACCCATAGTTATCTGGGCCCCTCAGAGCAATCGTTAGTCAAGAAAATGCCCCACAGCCTTGCCTATAGGCCATCTGATGGAGGCATTTTCTCAACTAAGATCCCTTCGTCCCAGATATGTCCAAGTTTGTGTCAAGTTGCCCAGACCAAACAAACACAACCAGGCAAGAGCCAACTGCACAAAGTTGTTCTGTGGCCTTCACTTGTGTGCCACAGCCGAGTGTCTGCACACATCACATACGCACACAACCCTGAGAAGCTGAATACAAATAAATAATAAAAACAAAATAGTAACAGTTTAGATAACAAAAAATGTAGATATTTGTGCTCAGATATGCCAGAAAGGATGGGGAGGATATAAAATGGTAGACATCTGAGCCCATGTCATCTGCTCTGTCACAGCAGAAGAGTTTAGACAGGGTGATTTTCAAATACAAGTTTGTTGCCTGCAGTTCTAGACACTGGGGAGTCCAAGGGAGGGCAACGGCAGACTTGGGGTCTGCTGAAGGTCCTTTCCTGTAGTTGGTACCTTTCGCCGTGTTCTCACGTGGTGGAGGCGGCGAGCCTGCTCCCTCTGGCCCCTCTTCTAAAAGCTCTAGCCTCACCTTTGAGAAATGATCAGAGGGGCCTCGCCTGCATCTGGCTCTCAGACATTCCTTTAACACGCTCCGTTGTCCACCTCCGCCAGTGACGACGATGCTCTGCCTCGGCTGCTCCAGCCGTGACTGAGCTGCCTGTCCTCATGAGCCGCAGCACAGACCTCGACACAATCCCACATTGTCTTCAACATTTAGAAAACTCAGGGAACCGGGGTGTCAAAGTCTACGTTCAAAGCCATGTTCAGATTTATACATGTAGATTCATCTATGTTTAAAGTCTCAAGTAAAATTTGTAAAACACAGATTAGAAAAAAGGAAGATGTCTACATTCTTAACTGCCTAGCAATGTAGCCTACTGATACCCTCCCTAATTACAAGTTCCTCAAAGTCCTGCCAAACAGGGACCTAGTTCTGTCTGCTGTGTTCGTACCAACCATGTAAACACATAGCACCTATCCCCTAGCACATACACACACACACACACACACACACACACACACACACACACACACACACACACCCCTCAGGTTGCCAAACTTTCCTGAAAGAGAATCTAAGAGCATGTGGGGTACCTAAGAGGCACCTGTGTATGCAGCAGTCCATAGCTACAAAGTAGACTTGTCAAAGTTGGGGGCGGGGCTGCTACAGAGAAAAGGACACCACAGCAGCTACTTTGCCAGACCCACAGTGTATGTAAAGCCCTGTCCGGTCGGTGGCTGCCTGGACCGTGTGTACATGTGATGACCTGTGCCTATGTCGTTCCTCTAGGGTTCTTGGAGTCTCTGGATGACTTTTACATTCTTAGCAGTGGCCTCATACTGCTACAGACCACCAACAGTGTATACAATAAAACCCTGCTGAAGTTCGTGGTACCCGAGACTCTCCTGGCCTGGCAAAGAGTCCGTGTGGCCAACATGATGGCAGACGGTGGTAAGGACTGGGCAGAGATCTTTTCAAAGCACAACTCTGGTAAGTGGCTCTATGCAATCATCCTCAGGCATGCACCTATGTTAACTAAGCCTTACAGTTGTTAATCAGTTGACAAGTTGATAGACCCATGTTGCCCTTGTGTCTCCCAACATTTCAGGTACCTACAACAATCAGTACATGGTCCTGGACTTGAAGAAGGTTCATATCAAGAAGCGCCTTGACGAAGGCACTCTGTATATCGTGGAGCAAATTCCTACATACGTAGAATATTCGGAACAAACCAATGTTCTAAGAAAAGGTACCATCTTCCCAGCCTGTCTGGACTGAGTGCCTGTCTGTGTGTTCTGGCTTCATTTCTGTTGTTGTGATACCCTGAGAGCAAGTAGCTTAGGGGTGGAACTGTTTATTTTACTTGCAATCCCATGTTACATTCAATCATGGTGGAAGAGTCAAGGCAGGAACCTGAAGCAGCTAAATCTTCATGTCTGTAGTCAAGGGCAGAGAGGAAATGCACCCATACACATGCTTACCACTCAGCTAGCTTTCTCTGCTGTTCCACAGTCCAGGGTCCAAACCCACCCATTTGGGACTGTCCTCCAGACAGGCACACAGGCCAACCTGACTGAAACAATCCCTCGCTGAGATTCTCTTCCTGGATGAGTCTAGATCGTGTGAAGTTGAAAGAAAAACTAACCATGACGCTGTGTATGACGGGGGATGTGCTGTGTGACAGTGGGTGACAGGTCTGTCAGTGACAGTTATCCTGGTAAAGAATCACATGTTCAACACAACACGTGAGAGGACACCTCGTTCTCTCATGGGGGGTTGGGATGTCGCCGAGCCCCTCTGACCTCTAACAGCTCTAGCATTGCCTTCTGTCTTGAATTCTGGAAGTTAAGTTTTAAGTTCCACTCAGCACATTTTTGTGGGGTGTTACTCTGACTCAGGTGTCTCTATAAACTCTGGAGCATCATATAGCAAAGGTCATGGGCCCAGAATGGGGAGAACTGGAGCAGGCCTGATGTAGTGGGCCGAGCAGAACCTAACTAAAGAGGGTACCATTAGTGTAAGGGGTCAGAGACGGTGGCCTTGGCCATCAAGGGTACAGCCCAGACAGGCGGAGCCCAGGAATTGAATCTTGGCTTCCCAACAATCTCAGGTAAATGACTCAACCTCTCCAATCCTTACTCTCTTCATATATAAGTCAGGGCAATTGTGATGTAGATCCACCAATCACTCATTATTTTAAATGCCAGAACTCGAAAGTCAAACATTATTGTTTTGATACTACGTTACCTGGTTAAAAAAATATATATATGATCCAAACTAAACTAATTTGGTAGGAAAAAGCTCCCCCAAACTACAAAACTGGGCTTGAGCAGTCTTCTGTCCTCACTCCTCATGAAGACATTGCTTATCATGATAGTCATTTTTTGTCTTTGTGACAAATCACGTGATGAAAACTTAAAAGAGGCAAGATTTATTGTGAGTCACTGTCCTGTGTAACAGGTCCACAAGTCAAAATTTTAAGACTTGCCACTTTCCTACATTGACTCTTTTTAAACGTTTTCTCATTGATATATATTGATTGTTGGTAACATTAGATTTCATGCTGCCATTCTTACACAGGTACGTGTTTTTATCATTCTCTCCCTCGCTTCCACCCCCACGCTCGCTAGTCCCTTTCCTCTTCCAAACTGGTCCCTTCTGCTTTCCTGGCTTGTTTTTCTCTGGGCACAGGGGAGACAGGTCGAGTTTAACTAGGGTGATTGACCGTAGCTTGGGTAACTTACCAGTGGTTGCACTACAGAGGAAAATGTCTCTAGGTCCCTCAGGCCAGTGCTTCTCAACCTTCCTAATGCTGAGACCCTGTAATACAGCTCTTCTTCTTGTAGTGACACCCAACCATCAAATTGTTCTGTTGCTACTTCATAATTGCAATTTTGCTACTGTTATGAATTGCAATGTAAATATCTGCTATGCGACCCTCAAAGGGGTCGTGACCCACAGGTTGAGAGCCACTGCTCTAGACACCCTTCTGGGCCTTTTCCTCATGTTCTGTTACTTGGTCACAGGAAAGTTCCAGATAAGCGTCATGTTAGCCATTCCACTGAGAGGGTAAAAGGCTCAAGAAGAAATAGGAGATGCTCTCAAATAAAGACGCTGTGCGACCATTCTTTAAATTGAAAAAAAAATACCTCCTAGTCTTTGAAAGCGTCTCTGGGATGGAGGTAGTATTGCTTTTTAGAGCCAAGGCAGGCAACTGAGTTTGGTATCTTGCTTACAAGAGGGGAGGGTAATGCTTAAACATCACCAGGTTGATCTGGGAATAAATAAGCTTCCATAGTAAATGTTTTTTTTTTAATTATGAGACTTTAATGAGAATGTGAAGGACAAAAGAGACACTGTTTGGAGGAAGCTGTTCTGACAGTATTAATTATCAATAATTAATTTAATACAAAGGCTGGCACTACTGTAAGTACCTGCCGCTGCTTGAACACACTTAGTGTCTACAGTGAACCTTAAAAAGAAAGGATTATTTATTTGTATGATACTGGATTAGTTACGTTGTATTGTTGTGATGAACACTGTTGTTGCTTGAATTCTAAAATGGTCTTTTAATAAAAAACCCTGGTGCCAGATATTAGGGTAAATGCCGAAAGATCAGAGAGACAAAGGAACAAGCCATTGCCACGTCTTACCTCTAGGACTCATCAGCCTGAAAAAGCTCTAGCCAAAAGACCTCTAGCCGTAAGGTCAGCTGAAAGGGGTCCAGCCAAAAAGCCTTTAGTTCCAGTCTCCTCACGTCTTATATACCTTTCTCCTCCCAGCCATCACTTCCTTCCTAGTGCTGGGATTAATGGCATGTGTGCTTCCCAAATACTGGGATTAAAGATGTGTGCCACCACTGCCTGGCTCTGTTTCTCTCCTAGACTGAGTCAATCTCACGTAGTCCAGGGTGGCTTTGAACTCACAGAGATCCAGACAGATCTCTGCCTCCTGAGTGCTAGGATTAAAGGTGTGTGCAACTACTGCCTGGCCTCTATGTTTAATCTAGTGGCTTGTTCTGTTCTCTGATCTTCAAGTAAGTTTTATTAGGGTACACAACATATCACCACATTTCCCCTTTTTGTCTAAAATAATAAAAGAAGGTTATAACCAATATAAGAAAAACTATATACAATAAGTATATACAATATACACAGTTAAAATTACATTAACAATGTCCAGTCCATAAACATTTGACAAATTCAGAGAAATTATCTATCCTATTTTGGTGAGTCCAAAGTGTTGTACCTAATTCACTTTCTATCCTAACTTGTATTACCAACCCCAAACTATCTTTTGATGTCTTTTAAACTTATATACTTTACACCTCTTTAGTAAGTTTCTTTTCTGAATCTGATAACAAGGAAACCTATAACTATAACTATCTATTCTTCAACTCCCTCAGAGACCCCAGAAGGAAATAATATTTACTGAGTTAGAAGAAAGTGCAAACAAGCAACTTCCAAAATATGTGAAAAATGACAGAAACAGCTGGCTGCCTGGACAGTCACCCAAGGTTCCTTTGCAATGTTGAGGAATCCATCTTGAGCCTACGGGCCTAGCATATCTGACAGACTTTTCTGTGAAGCAGGATTTCTTGAAGGACTGTCCTACCTTGTCTTGGGAAGGTTCGGCAGTCCTTTCTTTTGTGTCCTGCTTGTCCATTTTGGACAGCCTACTGTCAGCAATCAAGCAAGGACACTTTCTTGGCTAACTTTTGTCACAAAGAAAGTAAACTCAATATAGAGTTTTCTTCGATGCCCATCATCTTCTCTGAAGTAGACTAGTGCTGCCAGGAGCAGACATGTTTCATTGTCATAAAAAAAAGAATCTATGTTATTAAAACATCTTAATTGCCATATTCTGTAGATCTCTGAAGTGTTTGACGATGACCTGTCTATCTAAAATATATGTCGGACCTTGAAAACATACCTAACCTGACTACAAGTTTGATTGTAATAGGTGACTAACTACTAACCTGAATTTCTTTATTTCCTAATTAGCTGGTAATAATAATTTTCAAGGACTAGCAATTTGCATTACATTGCTAAATGAACTGTATAGGTACAATAACTTGAGCAAGATTAGAAGTGTATATACAGTATCTTCTAACAAAATTAATCTCAAATTTGTATCAATATACAAAATTTGTATATGATATATAAAAATCTAATCCAATGTAAAATATTTAAGACTAGTAGTTGCTTTTTAAAAGTAGATTCAATAATTTACCTTTTTATCTTAGCATATCTATATCCTCCCTTTTTTCTTTTCAGAGTAGATTCAATAATCTACCCTTTTATCCTATCATTTCTATATTTTTTTTTCAGATTCAATAATCTACCCTCTTATCTATATCCTCTTTTTTTTCTTTTTCTTTTTTTTTCAAACAAGAACCCTGAATCTAATCTCCTTTGTTTAGCTTTTTTCCTGACCATTATCAATTAACAATTTGTAACCAACCATCCTAAACAATGACAATTATCCATAACCCATAATTTGAGAATGTGGGCATAGTCTTCTAGGTTAATTCCTGCTGATTGGGGGCACTGGTAATCTTATGGAGACACAAAGAAAATTTAGGATTGTGGTCAAGTCTTAATTAGAATAGTCTGTGAGGCTGTATCATCCCAGCTAGCCATCTCAATAATTGTCCTGAGCAGTTTGTAGTCCAAAGCTGATCTTTGGGTGGTGTTTGTCAGCTTGGTGGCATTATCATCATCCTGATGGAATCATTGTGTGGGGTCTCATCATCTTTTTGGATACTTCAAAGATCACATTGGGTTAAATTATTCCTTTTCTTGGTAATTTTTTTCTGGGTAGTTCTCTCTTCTTTTTTGGATGCTTATTTGTCCAAAGGTCTTTAAATTCTTCAAGATGATTGTTTTTATTTTCCTGAAAGACAAAAACAAAACCCTTCCCCAACCTTAACTTTGGGGAGGTTCCCAATCTAATCTTTATCAATTTTGATTTATAGTTTCTTATTATTTTGTTCTCTTTGGTATAACTGTTCTATCATCAGAGCTGTATGTTTTTTTACAATAGACATTAGGTTCTTTAATTGTTCTGGGAAGGAGTTTCCTCCACAATTACAGGAAATGACTGGATGGAATTTGACATAGAGGCCTGTGAGAGGCCCCTCAGGACATTTCCTGAGGGGAAAGGATTACCTTGACTATCCCTTGTTGATCTACATTAGTTAGTCCAGTGTCTGCCTTTACCATATCTTCTGCATAATCCAGAAGAGAAGAGTGTTCTGTTGGGATTATTCCTTGAGAAAACATTATTTCTAGGAATACCTTCTTTATAGTCCCTTTTTAGGTGACCTTGTTTACCACAATTGAAACATTTGACACTACTATTTTTCTTCAAACCTCTAGAAATCACCTCTCCTATCCAAGCATCATCATGAGATTCAATATTAATTGTATCTCAGATCCATTCTTCCAAGGGTGCTGATCTTGCCTTTAGTGGCCTAATTATCCTTTTGCATTGTGCATTAGCATTTTCAAAAGCCAGAGATTCAATTATTATTTGCCTAGCTTCTGAATTTGGTATCATTCTATTCACTGCTGAAGTCAGTCTTTGTAAGAAATCAGTGAAAGTTTCTTTTGGGCCCTGTATAACTTTAGTAAATGATTCAATTTTCTTTTCTACTTCTTCAGTTCTGTCCTAAGCATTCAAGACTGCCATTCAGCATAAAGCTAGGGTGTGATCATCATATAAAGATTGTCTTTGTATATCAGAAAAATTGCCTTCTCCAAGAAGTTGATCTTGGGAGGTTTCAAGACCTCTAGCTCTATTTCATTGTTCAATGGTCTTAGCCTCATCCTCCCACCAGGTCCTCCATTATAATTAGGGACCAGCTTCTAAGACTGCTGTAACCAAATCTCTCAAGTCTTGAGGGGATAATTCTACTACAAGTTGACTACAAGTTTAACATCTGCTTCACGAAAGATGAGTGGATATCATATGAGACTATTGCTTCTTTGAATCTCCTCAAATCTAACATTTGCACAGGAGTCCAGTCAGCTCTTACACAGCCTTGAGGAGATCTATCACTGGGTAGTTCCTGTAAGGTTACTGGATAGATTAAGGTTGGCTGTTTGAAAGCCTTAGGCTGTTTTTCTGTAACCTTATAATGCAATGCTGAGATTGGTTCTCCTTTAAATTCTTCTATCTGGGTCTGTATACCTCTATGATCAGTTTTACTAAGTTTTTCTAAAACTTTTATCTTGGCACTCATTTTAACCAACATTTTTAATGATAAAACAGAAATGATCAAGCAAATAATATCTATAATTGACATTACATAAATCCCATTAACATTAATTATCCTCTCATGTTCCAGTTTCAGACCATCAATTATATTATCAAAGACCAAACTCCCTCCATTGTAAAAATGTTTCCCATTTTTTAATGTGGAGGGAAAAACTTTATTTTAACTAATTTCCCCTGTTAAGAAATCCCAATTGACTCATCAAATCTGCTGACGGTGAAGTGAGGTAGCTGCCTAGTGTGGCAGCAGCCTGAGGAGGTGGTCCAGGGAAAGCCAAAGGGAAGAAACTAAAAAGCCAGCTGTCTGCACGGGCACCTGTGAAAGCAGCCAATTCTTGTGGTTTTGGAGCCCAAAACCTACAGAGTTTGCTGCAGAAAGGCTGCAACAAAAACCGAGCTGGCAGGGGAGGGACTCTGGCTATGTGTAGCTCTGGCAAGTGACTTTTTCATGAATTCATGCCCCCAAATTTGGATGCCAGATGTTGCTCTAATCTTAAATGGTCTTTTAATAAAAACCCGGAGCCAGATATTGAGGTAAATGCTGAAAAATCAGAGAGAAAAAGAAACAAGCCATTGCCACGGCTCATTTCACCAACTCCATGAATTCTCTGGCTGAATGCCTCTGAGTCCTCAGCCAAAAGCTCTCTAGCCAAAGGGTCCGTTGAAAGGGATCCAGCTGAAAAGCCTTTAGTTCCTGTCTCCTCGCACCTTATATACATTTCTCCACCCAGCCATCACTTCCTTCCTAGTACTGGGATTCATGGTGTGTGTGTGTGTTACCACTGCCTGGCTGAATGAATCTCATGTAATCCAGGGTGGAACTCACAGAGATCCAGATGGGTCTCTGCCTCCCGAGTGCTAGGATTAAAGGTGTGTGCTACCACTGCCTGGCCTCTACGTTTAATCTAGTGGCTTGTTCTGTCCTCTGATCTTCAAGCAAATTTTATTAGGGTACACAGTATGTCACCACACATCATCATCAAAAGTGACTCACACAAGGGTATATTTTGGCTGATGGCTCCAGAGGGAGAATCCACAATGGCTTGGGAGGCATGACAGCAAGCTGCAGGGGCAAGAAACTGAGAGATCATATCCTCAGTCACAGGCAGGAAGCAGACCAAGCAAACAGGAAGTGGGGCCAGAATATAAACCCTCAAAGCCCACCCCCACTGATGTACTCCTTCCAGCAAAGCTGCACCTCTTAAAGGTCCCATAATCTCCCCAGACAGCACCACCAACAGGAAACCAAGTGTACAAAGATATGAGCCTGTGGGCTGCACCGGTCACTCAGAACACCACAGATGCCAAAGAAAGCACTGCTGGCCTTACAAAGATGAAGACATTAGCACAGAGAGGTGGATAATTTGGCCAAGGTCACACACCTAATAACGTTGGAGCTAGGCTCTGAGTCCAGGCAGTATCACTTGTGAGTCTGTGTAACCTAGTGTGTTCTAGCAATGAGTCTGTTTTCACCCAATAATTTCAGTATTGTCCTTATCTCCATTCTTCCCGGTGCTGGTTCTGTGCCCGGGCAAGGTTAAACATTTGCTTTATCTCTATAGTTTCTTCATGGATTAGGAGATTCCCACACAATAGTAAAGGACAAAGACACACAAGGGCCAAGAGAACACAGAGGTAGGAAATTATTTCCTGGAGTGGAGAAACCCCTCATTTGAAAAATTGGAATAGCTCCACTGTACCTAATGATGGGCTTCATAAAGGCATTTTCATTCAAGTCCATCATGCACTTTGACCTCAGCCACCCAGTATGCTCCTCCCTGGCTCCCTCCTTCTACCCCTTTCCTGCTAGGCCCCTTCCTTTGTCCACACAGTCTCAGTTCTACTTTGAACAATATATACAAAGCACACGGGAGGAAATGCGATGTTTGTCCTTCTGAGTCTGCTCATTTGCCTTCCGATGACCATCTCCAGAAGCATCCTCTCCTGCAGATGACGTTCTTTGTGGCGGAATGTCACATTTTCTTCATCTACTCATTTGTTGCTGGACAGCAGGTTGGTTCTATTGGTTAGCTACTACAAACAGTACTACAGCAAGCATGGATTCACAGTGTCACCGTGGTGTGTTGACTGAAGATTTCCTTGTGTGCATTCCCGGGAGCTGGAGAGCTGAAGCATATTGCAGCTGTTTTTTTGAGAAATCTCCAGGTTGTCTTACATAGTGGCTAGAGACACTCTTATTTTAAATGATGGTCCTGTAGGCAACAACCTAGGCCAGTGCAATCTACGATGTTCCTAAAATTGTGTCACATGTCTAGTGCTTAGTGACTTGAGGTGAAAATTTGGATGACAATGGGTCCTGTGAAATGTTTTCAGTCCTGGAAGTTAATAGCCTGCTGGAACATGGAAGACAACCCCCACCCCCATACCCACTCCTCTCAGGCATCCCCTTCCCTTCTAGTCTCACAAAAGGAAAAATGGGGTGAAGTGCCTAAGACCTAGTAACTCATCCATGAACTTCGCTAGACCTTGTGTTTTCTGACGTCAGTGTCGTGTGTCCCATCAGTGGGATTAGTATCTGCTGTCCTCTGCAGGGCACCATACTCACCGGATGGACTCCAGGCAGCTCCCCAGAGCACTGCAGCATCCTTTGCTCTTCTGGTCTATAGAGAATAATGTTGTTCTCTGGGTTGCACTAACAACTTGGCATGAAAATCAAAGACTTCTAAGGCACTTCTTCCCTTACAGTAATCTAGAGGCACACCAACTCTGGGGGTTTAGAGGGATCATTGTGGCTGGCAGGTTCACATTCACAGCTTCATTTCCTATGGCATTTCATTTTGTGACTACACATGTGGCAATTCTCAAATGTACTATCATTCAACAACTTCCTTGTTTTGTTCCCTTCTCTTCCTGTCTCCCTCTGTTCAACCCCCCCCCCCCTTCCATTCCAAATCAGGATACTGGCCTTCCTACAATATCCCTTTCCATGAAAAGATCTACAACTGGAGTGGCTACCCGCTGCTGGTTAAGAAGCTGGGTTTGGACTACTCTTATGACTTAGCTCCCCGAGCCAAAATCTTCAGGCGCGACCAAGGGAAAGTGACTGATATGGCTTCCATGAAATATATCATGCGATACAACAGTACGTAACACATTTCTCAAGAGTCATTTTTCAAAACTCCTTTTCTTCCCCATGGAATAAGAATCTATGTACGTTTATCATCTTGTACTAGAAGGAATTATAAAAAGTTATCTGAATACAGTATTCAGGATACTAATGCTGTACACATATTGCTTGACAAATAGAACATTTGCCTCCTTTATAAAATCTCAGAAAGTTTTTTGAAAGGCTCAGCAGATAAAGGCACTTGCTGCCAAGTCTATTGGCCTGAGTTCGATCCCCTAGACCCACACAGTGGAAGGAGAGGACTGACTCCCCCAGTTTGTCTCCTGACCACCATATACATGCCATGCATGCTAAGCTATGTACACACACACACACAAATTCAGTTCTTGATCCTGTCTTCACTTCCCGAATGTTGGAACTGTGGATGTATACAACCACACCTGACTGCCCCCCATTGATGTAAAACGTAGAAGAAATGATCCATGTGCAGCCTTTTCCTTAGCACCTTCCCACCTGCTGCCAGCATAATGCCCAAAGACAAAAGCCGCTAAAATACTCACAAATGCTTTCTTTGGATGAAGACTCTCCAAGGCTAATTTGTATTTTATCTGTTAGAAAATGATGATGCATATAAATCTCTCTCTTCTTTGTACTCTCCTTGGGGTATGGTTCTTGAGGCAGGCTGGGCCTGGGGACAGAGGATTTGCAGCTAGTCACTCCCTACTGCAAGCCTAAAGCAGGCTGGGCAGGAGTCTCAGTTAGGGTTTCTATTGCTGTGAAGAGACACCATGACCACGGCAACTCTTATAAAAGAGAACTTTAATTGCGATGGTGGCTTGCAGTTCAGAGGTTTAGTCCATTCTCATTGTGGTGGGGAGCATGGCGGTGTACAGGCAGACATGGTACTGGATAAGTAGCTGAGAGTCTCCATCTTGCAGGCAACAGGAAGTGATCTCCATGTCACACTGAGGGGACCTTGAGCAAAACAGACCTCCAGCCCACTTCCTCCAACAAAGCCACACCTACTTTAACAAGGCCACACCTCCTAATAGTGCCACTCCCTTTTGGGGCTGTTTTCTTTCAAACTGCCACAGCTGGGGAGGCCTGTGGGACATATTCTTTGATGATCCAGGTATGACTAGATCAAAAATCTTACTTTGGATAAGTGTATCTCAGAATGGCCAACACCTGTTCCTTCCCCATCACTTAGATTACAAGGAGGACCCCTACAGTAAGGGTGATCCCTGCAACACCATCTGCTGTCGTGAGGACCTGAATGAAGCCAGCCCAAGCCCTGGAGGCTGCTATGACACCAAGGTAACTAACACACAATTGCTTTCCAATTTACTTCAAATGAGGAGTTAGACTAGAGGCAGAGATTTTTGTGGCATGAGGCCCAGTATCTCCAACCATATATTAATTCAGGAAGCAGACTGTTCCTGTAAATAATAGAATTCACCTCATAGAGTATAGTGAAGACTAAATCTTCAACATCCCCACATCTAGAAGAGCTCTTAATTATAAATGTATTCACGGGGCTGGAGAGATGGCTCAGTGGTTTAGAGCACGGCTGCTCTTTCAGGGGACCAAGGTTTGATTCTCAGAACTGACATGCTCGCTAAGAATCACCTGTAACTCCAGTTCTGGGGTATCCAGTACCCTCTTCTGGCTTCCGCTGGCACTGTATGCATGTGGTGCACATATACACATGAAGAAAAAATATTCATACACAACAATCTTTTAAAATTAATTTTAAATGTATATAATCATAGTGGTAGTAACATTTTATCAGATGGCCCTAAATCCAAAGAATCATCTTGCTGAGAATACTGTGGCTGTGTATTAATCACGAATTTAGCTTAAGGAGCACATTTTAGACCGAGTGGCCAAGCCACTTTAGGTTTTTGCAGTAATATGAAGCCTGCTCATGTTGGTTTCAACAAAACCAGTAACAAAAGCCAACTAACAGCCTGTTGACTGCCACGTGGAAGGACATGAACGCCAGAGACCGATGAGGGCTACAAACTGTCTGTATGCCTCTTTCTTGAGAGCAGGCTGCTCCAGACCTTCCTGTGCATGAGCTGGCCTTTTAGTTGGTGTGTTCATTCTGCACATGTAGCTTGAAGATGTGTCTTCCATCTCTTTGGCTAGTAAAACAAACTACAGAACTCCCACATCTCTTACACTTACCTTCTGTCAGCCATCCTTCAAGTGGGAGATGCTTTTCAGAGTCCGAGTCCTAGCTCCCCCTTCCAGGCAGCTGTGTGAAGGCAACACTTCAGCTCTTAGGATATTCCACGCCGTACAACCCAGGTAATAAAGAGCAAAGTGGCGTCAGGAAGCCCCAACACGTGTTGGTTCATTTCCATGGTATCCGTACACATTCAAGAGCAAAGTGTGACAAGTGTTGCATTTGTCTCAGACAACATGCAGAAAATCATCTCTGTAGTCTTGTGTGGAAGAACCCAAGCCAAGCTTCCATCTGTCAGATGCTGCTGCCAGAATAAGCTTAAAATATTCTTTGTCTTTCAGCTACTTCAGATACATGGTGTACTTTCCCCTCTAACGCTAGATATGGTTCTAGCTCAGAGTCAGGTGTTCCAGAGAGCCCTTTGAGTGTGGCTCATCCTTTAGAACTCTTGTTACTGCCCTAATTAACACCAGCCTCCACTGAGGATTTGCTGGCTCTAGGCTTTGTTACTCCCAGTAATTCTTTCTCTGATCTAGGAGGAACAGACATGAGCCCACTTTCTGAGGAGGAAAACCAAGTCATGGAAATGCTAAGGTGGTTGTAAAGTAACTTGTGGAGCTACAGTTCTGAATTAGTTCTCACACTGCAGATCTCCTGTCTATGCTGCTTTCCTAGTCAGTTCTCATTTGGATGCTAAATGGATACAGACACATGTCATGGAAAGGATGCAGCTTCCAAGAAACTTGTCTTTTCAAGGAGGCTCGCAGTATGCCCTTGTGAAGGGAGATGAAGTCTACAGTCACATTGCAGATGCTCTGTTAAAATGTTGTCCTCTCTTTTTCCAGGTGGCAGATATCTTCCTTGCATTTCAGTATACAGCCTATGCCATTAGTGGTCCCACGGTACAAGATGGTCTCCCCGCTTTTGACTGGAATCGGTTCAACAAAACTCTACATGAAGGGATGCCAGACGTCTATAACTTCGATTTTGTTACCATGAAACCAATTTTGACAGAGAACATAAAGTGAAGGATGGAGGAGGAAGAACAAAGCTGCGAATAAGACTCCAAAGGCATTATTTTAGCTATATTTTCCCATCTGTACTCTTAATAAAAAAATATTAAATTCCCTTCCATTTTCCACAGATTTTTGTTTTTAACAGCAAAAACATTTCCTGCAGGGTGGAGAGCTGCAGACTAAACATTATGTATGAGATGAATACAAGAAAAGATTGCAGAAACTGTCTCTGTCAGAATCCACTATCCTCCGTTGATGCCTGCAGATGCCAATCACAGTCCACGGTACAACCAAGTTCTGGCCAATTGAGCTTGAGGTAATATGAAGGACATCTCCAGGCTTAGGAGACACCTGCACTTCCCATGGTCCTTCTCCTTCCCCTGATGGTCAATGCTAATAGCAAAGCCCTAGGGGTTTGGGGAGCACAAACAGGAGGCAGTTTGTGATTCTTTCTGGTCATCAAGCTAGACACGTAGTCAGCTGAAATCCCCGTCTAACCAGGCAGCAGTTCCGCACGGCAGCTTCTTCAAAGCTCGGGAATACCATGTGGGTTGAGTGCTGGGGAACTGCCTAACAGATTAAAGAAGGCGCAGTGAACAGTGAACAATGGGGAGTGCTGAGCAAAGTGGGTTTGTTTTTTAAGAAATGCACACACAGGCTGAGAACTCTCCGAATGAATAAGAGTACCCAGGAATGTTAAAAACCCAGTCATTTATTTCAAAGTATAAATTTCAGGCTTGCTGGACAAATCCCCACTACAGTTAACATTTACACAGACAGTACTCTACTGTACATTTAGGAAAGAAAATTAAAAATTTCAAAACCTAATAAAAAATGGGGCAACTTGCTACAGCGCAGTTAATATTAGACCTTAGAAAGGTCTTACATCATCTTATTATTTACACTTCCAACTGCAACAAACAAAAATCAGGATGCAAGTTTTCCTACGAGGGGTTTATTTTTACATTTCTGTTTGAAATTGTTGATAAAATCCTCAAGCTAGGATCTCCAAAAGGTGTTTGATTGCTTAGTTCCCTTATTTACAAAAGGAAAGGGGAGGGGTCATTTACATATTTAAATGATAGATATTCAGCTATCTCTACATATAAAACAAAAACAAAAGCTCGAACATGATAAAACATTGGAAGATGAGAGCAGTGTGTCCTCAACTCCTCCCTGCCTTCGGCTGGCTCGAGGGGATGAGTTAAGAATTAGGTAAGTCTCCTCCACTGACAAACCCCTCATGGTAACTGCTCGATCTTGTGTGCACCGCTCAAATATTTCTTTAAAGCCATTTGCCCAGAAAATAATTAAGGAAGGCAGAATCACACACGACTACATAGTTATTATCTATGCACAAGGACATGTGTGTTTCCATGAGAACCAAACAGTTGACCCAACCACAGGGAAACAGAAAAAATTATATAATCATATTGAGGATACTGAAATGGCTGTGGGAGGAGTCAGTGGAACACCGGGAAGGCTTTCTTGTAGTACCTATGGGGTGAGACCACAGCATCTGAAAGCACGCCACACACAGTATTTTCAATCCTACACAGTCCTGGAAAAGCCATGGGAAGTGAAATGCCTACCAGGCAGCACTGACACTCTAAGTAATGGAGCAAGCAACATGAGGAGCCATCCAGCACGTCAAGAAAGTTCCGCAGAGCTGCACCTGAAATTCCCGAGATACATGTTTTTAAAGGTATCCCATATCTGGCACACGGGTAGGGGTTTGTGGAGGACACCTCTCTGAGGTAAACAGTATCCCAACAAGTATTTTCAAGGAAGAAAGCTCTTGTTTCTTTCATACTGCATCACACAGTACCAAGTAGTCTGCAGTTTAAAAATTGAGCCCAGAAAAACAGGGGGACAGCCACCTTGTAAGTTAACTGTCACAAAGGATGCTGTCTTTGTATGCCATTAGCAAGAACACAAATGAATGAGGTGTACTCACACTTAAAACAGGGTGAAAAGTACTCTGACACAGCGCAAAGCAGAGAGTAACGAACATTACTGTTACCATTCATTACTGTATAAACATCTCAATTCACGCTGAAATTTCAGGAGTTTCCAGGATTCCCAGTAAGGAAATACTTACCAGTATTGTCAGGCTAAAAATGTAGCAAACTTGAATTCCCAAAATGGGACAACTGAGCTTATTTGTAATACTTTGAGAAGAGATAGCAGGGAGTAAAAGAGAGCCCCCGATGTGAAGTGCTATTAAATATCCTGATGGCTGGAGCCTGCAGCTACTTCTGGAGAAGTCCTCCTCCTCCTCCCCCAGGACAGCCAGACAAAAGCCAATGCCCATCAGCACTTACATTTACCCCAAAGAAAGGAAACCCAACATGGCCGCTGCCCAAAGCCTCATGACAGGTTATATGAGGAGACTGCACCCACAAGTGTATGTTCCCCATAACAGTTACAGACAGTCTCTCTCCATACATTCTTTCCAATCTGGAATAAAGTTTTCAGTAACTACTTTCTGCAGTAAATCTACATCTAGAGCCATTATTTGACATTTTTTTTTTTCCTTTGACAAAACTCCAAGTACAAGCCAAAGCAATGAAATATAGTAATTCCACTGGGCTTCCTTCGCCTGATTGTATAACACTATGAAAACTTAAAAAAAAAAAACCAAAAACTAGAAAATATAAAATGATTAGTGAATAAAAATAGAAATATTCATCCAGGGAAACTTCCACTGGCTACTGAGCAGGCCAGCCAGTGAAAACAATTTTGAATGTGTTTTTCTATTATATAGACAGGAATGATGCTGAACAGAATACCAATCCTGTGCCTCACACAAGTGATGGTAAAAACATTTGGTACAGAGAGGTGCTCATACAGTTAGAAAGTAATTTCTTCCTTTCCAATCTCATTACCCTAACACTGACAACACTTTACTAGAATCATGAATCTAAGGAGTCCTTCCTACACAACTGCTCGCCAAACTTAACTTGGGGAAAAATGATTCTCCTGTGGTCTTTTTCTCGAAGTGGAAGGTTAGGAGCATTTACAATTTGGCAACTGCAGGCTTCCTTCATCAACCAAAATTCACTGAAGATGACAGAACACCAGTGAGAAGTCACCAAAGACAATTCCTTCACAACTCAACGATTCCTGCTATAACCATCAAAGGAATAAATGCACAAAAGGAATAGAGCTCCCCACTTTTAATGCCAGGAAAAGTGAACGATTGATCCATTTTGAGAAGGCAGAAATATGACTTAAAATGTTGTAAAGAAGACAGCCTGAAAGTGACTTCACAAACTCCACAAGGCCTCACTCAGCCTGAAAGTGACTTCACAAACTCCACAAGGCCTCACTCTGCCTGAAAGTGACTTCACAAACTCCACAAGGCCTCACTCAGCCTGAAAGTGACTTCACAAACTCCACAAAGCCTCACACATCCCTAAGTGCTCACCCTAATGCCTTCAGCTCTAAAGTACCTGGCTGATTCCCCTGCAGCTGGCATTCCTTGAAAATGCAAGGGTGAGCCTGCATCTGTGAACTTTGCAGAGGAATGAGGAATACTGAAGTGATTGGATCTAAGAAATATGTGCAAAGACCCAACAGGATCTGCTTCTAAGTTCTATCCACCGCTGCTGAAACCAGGACCCACCTGGCACCACCACAACCAAGGGAAGACAAAAGGGAGGGAGGGAGGGCCTCAGAGAAGAAGGAGACTGTGAGCCCCCTGCTCTTTTATGAAAGTGAACGTTTACTGCCTTGGAAAGAACCCTTTCCCACAAGTGATGTGATGAACCAGAACTTCCTTCAGATTCTCTAACAATGCAACATGGATATCAAAACAAGTTTAATGAAAACTTTTCTTAAACAATATGGCCTATTTTATGCATATGCAGAGTTAAATAATGGGCAAAAATAAAAGTATGTCCTTAAAAGAAAACAGTAAGTCAAATTTTTAGAGTTAAATCTGGTGATGTTACAGAAGATGAGGCAAACACATGCTCCAACACCTTGGTTTCCAAATGGTAGAGGGTATGGTATTCTTGGTGGCGAAGAAGAAGAAATGAAAGTTGAAAGAGGGATAAACAGTGGGCATATGGTCTGTGTGTTTCTGTAGCTTGTAAGGCACAACACAAATGCAGAAGCCAGATTAGGAGTTTGGGGTGCAGGTCCAACATTTTCACCTAATCAGCAACTCAGAAGAAATCAAAGAAAACATGGAGAGAATGCATCCTCTGTTCAAATTCATCGATTTTATGCTAAATATTTTTCTTTTTCATTTCTTTGGGTTTTGTTTAGATTCTTTGATCTCCTAGATCCCCCCTTAAAGGCAGAACCACACCAGCAACATACCTCAGAGTCTTTCATCTATTTACTTCCTACTAGAAGAGAGGTAAATTGAGAGTGAAAATGGGAGATTGCACTGTGATAAACACACAACTAGAAATTTAAAAAGTAAAACAAAACAAGAAAAGAAACAAAGACGACACACACAAACACCCATACAAATTCCCCAGCCTCATAACTAAAGCAAAGACCAATTTACATTTCAAATCCCCGAAGCTTAACTTGTTCAGGGGAAGACTTGCTTTATGGGCTGAATTTATTATACTTCAGTTATAAACAAACGTAGTGTGTACACTCATCTGTCCAAGAGATCTTGCACAAGGTGGATTTTACATTGAATTTCATGCACAAGATTAAAAACAAGCCCAAAATGTGGAACTTTGAAAAGAGGAAGCTAAAGGCTCCAAGGTCTAGCTGTTCTGGGAGGAAGAGATCACGTCCGTGGACTGAGGGTCACAGAAAGGCCCAAAGCGGCCGTAAATGTCCTTGGCGCGCACTGCAAAGTAGTACTTGCTGCCCGACACAAACTGAGTAAGGGTGCAAGCCATGGGCAAAGGAAGGGCTTTGACTTCGCCGATCTTTTTCCACTGAGAGGGCACAGTGGCACTGGGTTCCTCGTGGTAAGCATAGAGATGGTAGCTGTCGACAGTGGCACAACTTCGATCCACTTCCAGGACACTCCACGACAGCACAATGCCATTCTGACTCTGAACTCGAGCTAACTTCAAGTGTGGTTTCTGAGGCAGAGAAGTGCTGGCAGCTTCCGGGGGCAGACGCTGTGGCTGTGGGGCTTCCGGTAAGGGTGCTGGATGCATAGGACGTGGGGGCTCCTAACAAAAGAAGAGATGTGTTGATTTCTAGCGATTACAGAATTCTTTCAGAAGATACCTTAGGATCATAGAGATACCATTTTACATTAAGAACTCTGAAAAACCCCAATACCATAACCAATTTTGGCAATTCTATTCAGTGATACACAAATCAATCACGCCCCAAATAATGATGCTGAACTTGTATTTCCTAGACCGAAAATACTAAGTTCTCCTTGGAAAACAAAAATCCCTTCCTAATGGACTATCACTGAAGAGATATGTTGATACTAGTGGGAATCATCTATGTCTAACAAATAATTTACAATTTAATCTTTTCTACTGTAGATTCTCATTTTAAGAAAGCAGTTAAAAATTATGTGTTACATACAAATTGGCACATACAGCCACACTCACTTTAAACCTATGCTGTGATATAAAGACAGCAGCACACGTATGAATAATGCCGAACATGTGTATGTTCTTGGTCAGTCTGGATGAAGAAGGTGATGGCCGAATGCCCCCACCCAACAGGAAAAGTATGAGCAGAGACAGGCAGAGGGAGCGGGAGGTTAACAGACAAGATTGAGTTAACACTTTCTTGGGCATCGGTATATGAAGCAAAGATTGGGGGGTGGGTGGGTAAGGCCCAGTGACTCAGAAGCACGGCACGAACCCTGGAAGGCCTGCTAACCTAACGCTGCACAGCACTGCTGTTACTGTAAACATGGCAGTCACAGCTATTTTAAGATGACAACAGCCTTCCAAAAAAGAGCCAGAAAACAGATGCAGTGAATCCAAGCGCAACATACTACTCGCTGACTTTATACTGGATTCCAAACTTCATGCAATAAAACCTATGTCTACACATGTACGTCAGGGTGAGACGCTCAGGGCAAACACTGATGGATGAGGCCCTAGGCTGATATCCAGTACCCAAATGGGACAAAGTAAAGCAAAGAAGTACTTCATTAGATAGTTTGAATAAACTAGTGAATTCTGTAAGGTCCAATAATACACTACTAAATTCCAATGCTTTATTATAGTCAAACTGTCAAAAGTTTAAGACAAAATATTCTAAAACCTGCAAGGACAGAAGTGCCAAATCACAGCTTCAATGTGACTGCCCTAAGGGATCACCTTGGGCTGGAGTCCAATATCCAGAAAGGGAAGTCTGCTAACTACCATGAAAGAGAGCGTGCAAAAACACAAACCCTACGAGAAGAAGAGATACACAAAGGACAAAGCGGGGCTAAGGGTTCATTAAGACCAGAGGGCTGAAGCCGGAAAAAGCTTGAATCATCATACACTGATGATTTCAAGGAATCTGCAGATGTTTCGCTGCAAGACATTCCTCCTAGTAGTAAAGAAATTACACATACATTTGTGGAGAGATGTCCAAATTACCAGTTAACAGACAAAAATCAGGTTGAGAGAAGGCCATGTTTAAGGGAGTAACACCCTGAAAACTGGACTGGGCCTGAGAGAGCAGCAGCACCAGAGCTATCCTTCCTCTACTGATGTCTTCCGGAGTGACTGGATCATCTCAGATCATTGACTCCATACAGCTAGGCTAGGAAAAGCACTGGAAGTGAATGGGTTTGCCTAGAGCTTGTTCAATCTGCTCTGTTCCTTCTAAGGCTCCGATTATTTATGCTTGTTCAATCTGCTCATGCCCCCCTGCCCCACTACTAAAACTAGTCATGAGTTTCGTTTTGTTTGTCAGTGCAGATGGGGTTCTGTGAAATTTGGGGGAAGAACTACATCACTAGGTATTCACTTAAAATAAGCAAGGGTGGCCACACCGGTCAGTGGACCCTCTGGAGACTACGGCAAGAGGACCATGAGTCTGAGGCTGGTGTGAGACAGATGGAGACCTGCCTCCAAGGAAACCAATCAGTGCAGCCAGTGCTGTAAGAAACAGTGACACAGACAAAATCAAGTGTCAAGTGCCGAGAACGGTTCAAAGTGCTTACAGGGAGGCACAAAGTCACACTTTAAGAAGCTTTGTAATTGGAGTAGAATAAAATTAGAAGTCAGTATCTCTAACAAAACAATTTAAGCTACTAGGAGCTCTAGATTTACAAGCTAAATGTTTCCTAAGTTCTAGTCGATTATAAAGTGGGAAAACTATCCTAGTTTACTGCTCTATTCCAACTCCCTGAAGAAAGCAAAGCATTCTTTTGTAGCTCCAACAGGAATGACAAATTTGCCATGCACCTCAGCACAGCTAGAACTGAAGCAAGGGAAGCTCGAGAGGCAGAGGAGATCTGGCTGGGTCTGGTAGCACCGAGGGTAAGGACACTGAGCAACAACCAAACACTTCCCATGATGTACTATCCTTGTATATTTATGTTAATTTTTTTGCAAAATGAGAGTACCACTACTAATCCCCATAGGAATATGAGGGCTAGAGCAAACAATAAAGTTCTCAGAGTAGCCAGGACACAGATGCTAAGTTTTTTTCCACTAAAATTAAGTAAGAAAAATCACAGCTTTTCAGTTCTAGGTTCTAGGGCTGGGGATGTGGTTTGTTCACACATGTACATACATAAGTACTGGGAGTATGGGCTCTTAGGAAGCACAAACAGCCTTGTTGATTACTCAGCCTCTAAATATCAGCTGCCACATGTGCAATAAAGACTTTAGAAACCCCTTCAGCAATAGCCTTAAGATGCTCTGTGTGAAAACAAGCGTGTCACCCTGCTGGGAACGTGATGAACCCCCTAGGAGAACTGTGGGTGCCGTAAAAGCATGTTTGGCTAGGTAATGTCTATCAGCCTTGACTTCCCGCCTTCCCTCTCTGAAGCCAGCATTTCTCTTCATGTACGTCATCATGATCTATACATATGAGATATAGTCACATATATTCTGCGGTACCCCTGAAACACAGTTATAATCTTGTCACAGGAAGATATGGCTTAGTTTGAGGCTAAATTTAGAGGGAAATTCTTTGTAATAAATGCATTCCAAAACCAATGGCTCGTTTAAGATAAACTGGTGACAATATAGTAGTTGTAAGTATAAAGTCACAACCCAAGGAAACACGAAGCATCCTTAAACTTACATCTGAGTTAGAAGTGCTGTCTGTCACCTTAGAAGCCCTGGCTATCGCCCTGTCTGTACTCAGGGAGCAGTGGTCCTAGCTAGACATGTTCTCAAAAATGGGAGTATCCCTTTCCCTAAAATAACCTTCTACTCAAGGGGAGACAGAACTATCTCCTTCCTTTGATAATATTACTTTAATATAACTTAAAAAAAGGAAATAGTAGTCAGTTGGTGGCGGCACCTGACTTTAATCTCAGATGTGGGAGGCAGAGGCAGGCAGATATGAGTTCAAGGCTAGCCTGGTCTACAGGGTGAGTTCTAGGATAGCCAGGGCTACACAGAGAAACCTTATCTCAAATAATCAAACAAACACCAACCAACAAACAACAACGAAAGAGGAAATGTTTCCTGGAACGACAGGACAGCTCAGTAACTGAGGATGTTTGAAAGGCAAGCACTGATATTTACAGTATGCACTTGTGGTGGCCGATGATGCACCGTGAGCTGAGGCCCTGCTGATCCCAGGGTCAGGCCGTTGTTTACAACATATGTGGTTGTCTGAGGCACTCGAACTGTAACACCTACAAAAGAAAAGGAAACAGAATATAAAGGAAATATCAAAATTCTACCGTAAATTTGCTGGGGCACTGTAAACATTGCTAGTAATACATTTTTTAAAAAATTCAAGAGGAGCTGGAGGGTGGTGGTACAAGCCTTTAATCCCAGCACTTGGGAGGCAGAGGCAGTGGATCTATGTGAGTTCGTGGCTAGCCTGGTCTACAGAGTGAGTTCCAAGACAGCCAGAACTGTTTCACAAAGAAACCCTGTATTGGGGAAGGGGGGAAAAAATTCAAGAGGAAAAATCTTTCCAACTGAAAAGTCTCCAGTCAGCTAAAGAAGTCATAAATTCCAGCATTTTCACAAATGCTTCCTCAAGGGGCACTGCAGGCTGCATGCAGCAACAGGACCTACGAGAACAGCACAAACACACAAACCCTTAGGAGGACGACTAGAAATAAAACCCTACAACACTGGCCGTGCACCCCAAGTGTGGGCAATAGTCAGCGATTCAAAAGGTGGGCAGACAGAAGCTAGACACAAGGTTCAGCAGTTAGGAGCACAAACTAGTCTCGCAAAAGACCTGAGTTTGGTTCCCTGCACCCACATCAGGTAGTTCTCAACCTCCTGTAACTCCAGGTGATCTGATGACCTTTTCTGTCCTACGCAGACAGACAGACAGACACAGACACAGACACACAGACACACACACACACACACACACACATACACACACACACTGAATAAAATCTTGTTTTAAAAAGTCACCATTCCTATGTTAGTGGGGTTCTCCACTTTCTCTCTATACTGATAATCAGCTGAGGACACACTTCACCCCAAGAAAAACTATTGTGACATTACCCAAGAAGAGAATTCAGAGCTATGTACTCTCCCAATCATCTTTCTACCAGACATGCAGTACTGGATCCAAACTAGTCTTGCCAGAACTTATTCATGCCAGAATCAAACAACTGACTGGAGAAAATCCTTACAAACTTGAGAAAGTTAAAGCCAGACTACGATCCCAAGACTCCATTTAGTTTAATTTTTCCTAGAAGCTAACTAACACTTAATAATGGAATTATTACAGTTTTTGAAAACAGCTAATGTGCGCTTATTTTATAAATATAAGTGTATATACACAAATATATATCAGCTTTGAAATTTTATATTATATGTATATCTGTATGTAAGATAAACATACACAACATTTAAGGGACAACTACATTGATGGCAATAAATAAAGAAAAGTGAGGATGGTGGACAGGAAGACAGGGAGGTAACAGGGAAAGAGACAGAAGAGTGATAAAGTTCCGCTTCCTAACGTGGTAAAGGTCACCTGTGGTTCACTTTTACTATTTTCCTTTAAACTTTATGCATTTTTGTCTATTTATTTGGGCTTTTTGAGATACGTTCTCATGTAGCCCAGGCTGGCCTTGAAATCACTATGTAGCCAAAAATGACCTTGAGCTCCTGATCCTCCTGCCTCCACTTTCCAGGTGTGTGCACCTGATGGCCAGCTTCTAAGCTTTAACTAGAAACCTTGATTTCATATACTACATTCTGCTATGAAGACACATATTCTATGCTACTAATAGACGGTATCTTCATTTAATACAGAATGAATGGCTTTAATTAGAGTTTAATAAGCTCTAAATTTCCTTTAATATTTTCCTTCCTTTAATTTCTTCAGCTGCTTTTATGCCTTTAAGACTGACTATAGAGACTATCGTTACCATGACTTCCCTCTTCTGGGTTGAGCCACAACTTACCATTCCACGATGCCAATTATTAAGAGTAGAGCATAACATACACACCTCTACACCTCAGCATGCAGGGGCAGGGATGGGCAGACCTCTGAGAGTTTGAGGTGATCAGCATAGCAAGCTTCTACCCAGCCAGGAATATATAGTGAGACCCTGTCTCAAACCATTAATAAATATTAAATGGGGTGCTATAATACAGATCATTAACAAAGTTAAATTGAAGACAATATAAAGACTACAAATCCTACGGTATATACGGCCAATTTCTCTTTTAATCATAAGAAGGGCTAGATATAGTGGTGCACACCTGGGAGGCAGAGGCAGGTGGATATTTGTGAGTTCCAGGCTAGCCAGGGATACATACTGAGACCCTGTCTCTAAATAAATAAATAAGAAGGGAAGAAAAAATATTTTTTTTTCAAAATCCATCTTAATGGATAAAATTATGTTTTTGGTGCTCTGAGAAATGTACACATTGTGGAATGGCTAAGATGAACTAACTACCTCACATCCTTACAATTTTTTTCTATGAAATCACTTAAAATCTCCAGTATCAGCAATTTCCAATGCACTACGTCATTACTAGCTATACCAAGCAAGTGATACGTCCCTTAACTTGATAATCTAAGTCAGCATAGAGCAGTGCACACACTTCGAAGCCATATATAAGCAAAGAGTCTCTTACTATTTTGAGGATTGACCTGGCGGACAGCAGGGGCCTGCATGACAGTTCCTCGGAGGGGAGTCTGAGCTGGTGGTGCTTGGACAGTTGTATAAACCACCTGGTGGTTTGCAGGAGCTCTTGGTACAGGGAGTCTTGTGGTCACCTGAGTTACTGGACGATGTGTTACATTCACGGTGGTTGGAGCTACGGAAGCCAACAAAAGATATCAAGAATGTAGTCAATTCTATGTTAAGACAACATAAAATATTTACCATTACACAAAATCGAACCATGGAGGGAAAGGCTGTCAGGACCATGTTCAGATCACACATACCACGTGAAATAGTAATTACCATTACACAAAACCTAACCAGGGAGGGAAGGCTGTCAGAACCATGTGTAGATCACACACCTCCAGACCTTCCTCCAGTCCCTTGGGTCCCATGCATTTTCCCCTCTTCAGGTGTCTCTGTCTAGCTGAGTTAACTATGGCAATGGGCAGAGGCAGAACAGGCCACTGCCGTACCAATAAGGAACAAGTTCAGTTGAAGCCTATCACCCAGCACCCAGCCAGACTCATCAACTCAGCAGACTGAAGAAAAACAAGGAGGCATAGCTCAAAAAACAGGCCTTACCAATACTACATAACGGCCCCGGACTGGGGGAGCGGAGGGTGTGAGATTTGTAGGAGGGACTTGTGCTCCAGGGCCTAGTTTGGTTTGTGCAAGCACATCTATGGCCTGCATTGTACAGATGGCTGGCTGATGAGGTCATCTTCCCCCCTCCTGCATCAAGCCTGCTCTCATCCCACAGCCTAACTGAACAGTCTCTCCTGCCTGACCAAGCCAACTAACATTTCTGATGGTTTGGTCTTTTTTCACTGAACTCAAAGCACCAGGAACTACGAATCAGTCACACACGCATGTTTCTGAAAACTTGCTGGGTGGCTGTAGATAAGTATGTAATATTTTAGAAACTTAGAAGTAAGCAGCTTTTTGTGCAAATCTTGAACCTAGTGTTTATTAAACATTCAACTTTACTTAGATCTGTTCCTGCTCCAATACACAGGTATTGTATACAGTGTTCTTGCAACTGTTTAAGTGGTGTGTGATGAAATTGGGAAAAGATGGTTTTTTGTTTGTTTTTGGTGGGGAGGGGCGGTAGGTGGTGGGGGAGCAGGATATGAAATTACTCTTTCCCTTTCCACATGAATTCTATTTTGAGGGTGCCAGTGTCCAAATCAAAGCCTTCTTGGAAGTGACATTTTATAATCCTGACACAAAAAAGTTAGATTTCTTTTCTACATTTTATTTTTTTGTATGCACGTGTGACGATCAGATGACAATTCTAGGGAGTTGGTTCTCTCCTTCCACTGTGTGGAAGTTGAAGACTGAACAAGTTGTCGTGCTTGGCAGGAAGTGGCTTTACCTGATGTTCAATCCTGCATCTCTACAGTTCACAGAACTGCCTGGGTATTGTAAGTTACTGTTTAAAAAAACCAAACCAACCCATGTCTTTGGCTGGCCACTCTGATTTACATTTTGTCCCTCCTTTGTAGGTGGAGTTCTCCTCTCCCGGCTCTCCTGCCTAACTTTATCCTGTTCAGCTATTGGCCAGTCAGCTTGTTTATTAAACAAATCATAGTGACATATATTCACAGAATGTGCAGAAGGATTATTCCACAGCACTCCTCTCCTTTAATCTATGTTCTAAAAGCATTTCTTTAAACAATGTTAGCCGATGCTTATCAAAAAAAAAAAAAAAGTAAAAAAAAGCTGCAATAATATGGTCATTTTCATTTCTATACATGATGTTTTGCCTGTGCACCACCTCTGTGCTCAACGATGAAGGAAGCCAGAAGAGGGCATCTGATCCCCTGGAACTAGAGTGATAGACAGTTGTGATCCCCGATGCAGGATCCTCTGAAAGAGCAGCCAATGTTCTTTACCTCTAAATTATCTCTGCAAATCTAGTTTTCATTCATTTTAAGAGACGAGCTTTCACTATGTTTCCCAGGTATATATACTCTAGGTGCAGGTGACCTGTCTCCTAAACAGCTGAAACTATGCCACCATGTATGTCAACAATGGGCATTTTATTTTTAAATAATTATTTTGAACTCTGAACTGTATGTCTACTCAATTCCTCTGTTCTATTTTCTCTCTCTTTTTTTTTTTTGGTTTTTTCTTTTTTGAGACAGGGTTTCTCTGTGTAGCTTTGCGCCTTTCCTGGAACTCACTTTGGAGACCAGGCTGGCCTTGAACTCACAGAGATCCGCCTGCCTCTGCCTCCCGAGTGCTGGGATTAAAGGCATGCGCCACCACTGCCCGGTTTATTTAAATCTAGTACCTCATGTATGCTTGATAAATGTTCTTCTATCAGAGACAAATCCCTAGGCCACGATAATGGTGATTTTTTTTTTAAGAATTAATATTTTCTTGTTAATATGGCTTTGAATTAGAACTCAAGCATATTGAAAACAATAACAAACTACTCTCATGTGGAAACAATGGGTTCTATAATAAAATTAATATGAAAGAAAGCAGATTTAACAATGACAAAAAGGCTTCCTCACTAAAGTCTTCCCATATAAGAGGTGACACTTGCCTTGCAGAATGTGGGGCCTGGGTATGGTCTCTAGGTCAGAGCGCACGCGCGCACGCACACACACACACACACACACACACACACACACAACTCCTAAAGACCCACAGGCTTTCTATGCCTTGACTCTCCGTGAGAGCTGTCTGAACAAGAAGTATATAAGAACTCTTCAGCACCTGATGACAAATGCCAATGTATCTGTTTGCATAAGGACACTTCCTTCTAAAGGAAAGGAGACACAGGAATGTTAAGGGTTGAATGCAATAGTAGTTATATTTATACAGAAAAATGGGATTTAAATATAAAGACCAACATAAAACCCCAAACGGTCACATAAGCACATATTTCTGGCTAGAAATGCCAGCAGGAGAGGCAGTGGCTTAAGTGACGGGACTGAGATCACATCAAGATTCTGAAAGGCAAAAGACGCGTAGTCACCACACTCACCAGCATTCACTTACCACACCACGACTAATTTCCAAGGCTAACAAATGCCTTGCTGAACCACTAGAACACCCCTTTTACCACCCATGATCCTGGCACGCTAACCTCCCCGGCTGGAAGCCCACTTAGCCCGGGGTCTCCCTACAGAAGGGCGCTGATGAAAGCGCTCTGCAGACAAATCTCTGGGCACTAACCTAACTTGAAGAAGCCACACTACCTTGGTTGACTTCTGAACAGCTTAGGTGATATAGGCTACGTACTCTTGAAATGTAGCAGGTAAAATATTAGCATGGACTTCCTGATAGTGTGGCAGGTTGGTTAAAACTAGCTGGAGCCTCAGACCCTGCCTCCGTGGTGGACTGCTTATCTAGCAAGCTTGAGACCCTAGGTTATATACATTTTCTGCTCTTCCGAGCAGCAAATGACAATGACATAGATAAAGTGTCAGAATTATTCTCTACCTGTGTTGCTCCTTAGGGCAGTGAGCAAAGCCAAGTCACATTACACGTTCAAAATTACAAACATTCTCTTGAAAGTAATAAGAATTATTTTTAAGATTTTCCTGGTTCTTCTCATGATTCCATAACCACAGTGTTCAATACACGACCCATCGTTCCTGCTGGGTGACTCAGCCACTTTACCTGTAGGCAGTAAGTGGATAGTTGTCTGAGATGGCCCACTGGTCGGCACCCCAGACGGCTGAGCAGGTGGTGCCGGCTGAATGGGCTGCAACGGTCGAGACATGGGCTGCGAAGTGCTCAGGGTTGGCGCAGGATGATTTAGTCTTTTGGGATCTGTTAATGAAAATGTAGGATACATGGCTGATGACAGGCAACACAAGGCAACCCAGGCCTGACATTTACTGGGAAACTTCTTTGCTTTCCACTTGCACACCAATTCCTCTCTTGAGAAATAACTTCTTTCTGTTCTCATTATGTAGATTTTTTGCTGATCTGAAAACCTAGCCAGAAGCTATTTTAATAATTCACCGGTGCTTCTTAGCAGATTCAGTTCATACTTTTATAGGAATACAGTTTTTTTTTTCCTCAAGGCAGGGATCTTCTGGATTCAATACGGACTAGAATAACTTCATTTGCAAAAATGCATGTATATGTATTTACACACCTGTATTAAAGACATCCTTCTGGACAAATACTGTGAACTGATAGTTTTCCCTGAGTTTTAATTTCAATTACTCAGAGCTGTTTAGATTTGTATGTAAGTGGTTGCTCATCATCACTATTTGTTTCTTAAAGTACAAAGGCTTACTAAAGTATCAAAAAGGGTCTCTGATGGCCTACAAAATAAATGTCTGTATCTCAGCAAAATCTAACATTAGAAAAACACTTAGATGGGATACTATTTTCTACAGAAGCTGACCCTCCTCCATTTCCAGCCTATGTGATAGTTGGGGTTCACTCAGCTCGTCTCCACAGAACAATGCACTTCTGAATGGGAGAATTAAGATGCCCCAAAGGTGAGGTAATAAAAGCTGGCCCAAGAGGCCAGCATGCCAGTGGGTGGGGTGCCTGGAGCTCAGGGTCAGCTCTGCCCTCCTAGCATCCTGATTCAGTACTTATTTTTGTTCTCTAAGAATTCCTGAGTCACATCAATCTATCAAAGCAAAATAAACAAGCCTGAAAGTCAAATGACAATTTGAAAGTCTTAAAATCACCGTCACAAGTGCATCATGACACCAGCATAAGGTCAGCCTTGATGAAGGACAGGATAAATGTCTCAACTGTACCTCAGCTTTACACAGTTCTATAGTGATTAAAGTTAACTACATTTATTTAATTTTATTTCTCTCAAATCAGCTGTCTTATACCCTAAAATATGACTTTGTTAAACCTTTGTTTTTAAGTTTACTGACTTCAAGATAAACAATTACCATTTGATCTTTCCAAATGCACACACTATCATGGATTTATGTATGTCTGTGAACAAACACACTTTGATAGCCAAAGAATTCTAAGAAACACTATACTCTGAATCATGACTGGAGATTTATAGTATAAATCACCACAGTAAAGGCTAGATTATTGTGTAATAATAATAATAATAATAATAATAATAATAATAATAAAAGTTGAATTTTAACTCAGGACTTTTCCAATTAGAATCAACCAAGGAACATTTATTCATGAAACTGCAGAATATGGCTTAGTATCTATCCAATTTAGTTTCTGAATACTGCAACTAAGAAAAATATTAGGGATGATTGATGAGAATGATTATTAAATTTTGATTTTTATTCATAATTAAGTGGACATACACTTAAACTATGTACACTAGAAGAAGGAGTGAAAGGGAAATGCTGAGGATGTCTTTCTGTATGCTGTAAATGTGTTGCTCTGATTGATTAATAAACAAAACACTGATTGACCAGTAGCCAGGCAGTAAGTATAGTGTAGGCGGGACAAGCAGAGAGGAGAATTCTGGGAAGTGGAAGGCTGAGTCAAGAGACGCTGCCAGCTGCCACTGCCATGAGAAGCAAGATGTGAAGGTAGAACTGGGGAAAGTTACCAAGCCACGTGACTAAATATAAATAAGAATTATGGGTTAATTTAAGTGTAAGATTTGGCTAGCAAGAAGCCTGAGCCATTAGGCCAAACAGTTTTAATTAATAGAAGCATCTGTGTGTTTATTTGAGTCTGAGCGACTGTGAGCCAGGTGGGACCAGGAAAACTTCTGGCTCTAAGGAGAGGGAGGGAGGGGGTAAGGGGGAGGGGGAGAGGGAGAGAAGTCAAGAGAGCAAGCAAGCAAAGAATTAAGACATGATTCCTGGGTCTCTTGCTGATTCCTTTACCTCTGGATTGAGGATGAGGCTTCATTAGAAAGAGCAATGGGACTAGCAGAGGCTCTCTACAGGCGAAGCATCTACTGCTGCTTTCCTGTACAGCAGCTCATGTTCATCCAGGAACTGATTGCTACTTTTTAATGCTACCTTTAAAGACTCCCATTCTAAAAGTGATATAGACACATCAATGCTACCTTCACAAAATATCACCAAATATTAAGAGGGGCAATGTCACTAAAGCATTTCTTCAAAGAATTACTACTTAAGTACCTTGTGTAGTTCCACTCTCTTCGTCATCCATTGTGAGGTCAATGACACCACTTGAATCATTGCCAGAAGCTTTCCCACTCTGAAAAACAAAACTTGGTTGATTCTGTAATGGAACTGGCAAATACAAAGTAATTGTGTGGAAATGGGAAAAAGGGTGAATGGTCTAGTTCAAGCTAGGCCCCTAAATGCCTTTACCTCAACAGTTTGACAGGTAAACAGCAAAGCACACCTGTGAGGTACAACTCACAGGGCTGGAAGATGTCTCAGTGGGTAAAGGCACTTGCTGCCAGCCTGAGCCAGTGTGAGCTCCAGGATGCATATGGTGGTAGGAAGGAACTGACTCCCTCCCACAGGTTGTCTGTCCTCTGACCTCCTTGCATGAGCACCACTCATACACATCCAACTACCAACACATAATAAATAAGTAAAACACAGAAACACTAATTAGTGCAATACAACAATTTTCAAGTACTATCTAACAAAATCCTAATAGTTTTAAAAATAAAGCTGTCTGTTACACAGAGTTGCTATAACTGCTACACGATTAAATACAAACAATATCCGTTTTTCTGACAATGAAAACACCAATCTTTTTTTTTTTTTTTTTTGGTTTTTCGAGATAGGGTTTCTCTGCGTAGCTTTGCGCCTTTCCTGGATCTCACTTTGTATTGTAGACCAGGCTGGCCTCGAACTCACAAAGATCCACCTGCCTCTGCCTCCTGAGTGCTGGGATTAAAGGCGTGCGCCACCACCACCTGGCGAAAACACCAATCTTTCCCTAAGTGATCATTTATGGATATACCAAAACACTAAAGACTACCAGACTACCTTTATAGTGAGGCTACAAAGAGAATTGAAATCTGTTTTTTTTACCCTAAAAAAACAAAAAGCAAAAAAACCACACATGGCTATGTCATTAGGAGATGTTCAATTTGACCAAACTCAGCACAGTGTCTACAATCATTATAAGACAATTAGGATTACAAACAAAAACCAAGCCAGCCTAACAGAAGAAGGCAGACGAGCACTGGCTGAGAGCCAGTATCAGACAGATGAGCTTACATTCCAACTCGTGAGCTCTGTGAATGAATCTCGAAGGGTAGACATGGAAGTAATTAGAAAGATTAATCCAAATGGATGCACAAAACGCTTAACATCACACATGAAATGTGGTAATACTTAACAAATGATAACCATAATTTGTTTTGACATTAGGATGTTCATCTGTAAAACTCAAGTGGAAACTGGGCTACAGATATGGCTCTCCAGGTAGAGGTCCTTGCTACAGAGCCTGACTAAAAGCATCTGATCTTCAGGACCCATGGGATGGAGAAGAGAACTGACATCCACAGCTACCCTCTGCCCATGAGAGCGCTGTGGCACACACACGATAAATGTAATTAAAAAAAAAAAAGCTAAGAAAGAAAGGAATTCCCTGACTTTAGAAAATCCAGTCCCAATCCCAAGATAATTATTTTAAATCTTGTAAAACTCTTTCTACAATAATTTCATAGACATTTATATATTTACGAATACCACAAATTGGCTTAACTCAAAATTAAGTTTCTAGTCTTCAAAGAATTCAAAGTCATTTATTACTATCACACATTATTTACAAGGTCCAGTTTTCAAAATCTACCAAATTTTGAAACTATGAACCACAGATAATACAAAACATGGAGGGGGGAAAAAGGAAAAATAGACAATAAAGTAGATAAAACAATAAATCAACAAAACCAGATTCCTGTCAGATATTGCATTCTAGAGATTATGAATGCAAGCAACTGTGACAATATGATACTAATGATCGAATAAATAAGAACAACTTGAAAGAAAGGAAAAAAGGAAAGAATAGGCTGAAAATGATTATCAGTACTTAGTCAGACGTGCTAGAGAGAGGATGGCTGAGTGGTTAAGAGGTATTATTCTTGCAAAAGACTTGAGTGTGATTACCAGCACACCAGGCAGCTCACAACTGCCTAAAACTCCACCTCCAGGGGATCTGACACCTTCTAAGTACCTCATACACAGATATACACATGCTCGCATAACTAAATTTAAAAAAAAAAAAAAATCTTTTTTTAATTAGCTGGAGTGCCTGGTGTAGTGGCACACACTCCCAGTACTCAGGAGGCCAAGGCAGGCAGATCTCTGTGAGTTTGAAGCCAGCCTGAGCTACGTAGTGAGTTCATGACAGCCAGAGCTACGTAGTGAGACCTGTCTCAAAACCAACCCTCCCCGATAAAATAAATACAAATAGCTTAAATCTATTTTTAAAAAAAAAAAAATTAGCTGAAGCAAGGATGGGGTTGGGGAGATCAGGGAAGAGTAGAGAGCAAGTTCAACAAAACTAAGGATGTATGAAAAAGCCTTATGGAAAATCACTACTTTGAAGATAATTTAAAACTATAAAGCCAAGGGAATTTGAATGGATGTCTGCTGCATGGGTGGACAATGGCACTTCCAGGAGACATGGGTTTGGGTCATGCATGGTGACTGGTCATGGAGGCCCCCACAACCACACAGACCCTCATTACACCACTGCTCTCCTCTGTCCACCATAACTACATGGCAAGAGCACATCCTGGAGACACCACCCACTTTGGTTGCAGGACATGGAGAAATCAATCTGGAACTGACTGGAAAACTTCCTCACTGCTGTCTTTCACAGTGCTGGCAGGCATTATGCAGACCACTGGGAGAGGAAAGATATCAATGGTCTTAGCCAGTACTGGTCCCCGCATGGCACAATCCTGATCTTCTGGGCAAGACATGAGACATTCCCACTGGGACAACAGTAGTAATGTTATGGGGTAGCCAAATAGTGATGTTAATGCTATGGATGCAATCATCTACTTCCCAATCAGATTTGAAGCCTGCTCCACAGAAGGCCATGTGTGACTGGTATTATAAATCTGGTCAAATTATGGTGGTGGGGGGAGGGGGGATTATTACTGCTGTTTGCTAAGCTGTCAAACTGTCTTCTAAATATTTACGTTTACAGACATGGATTTTGACAGCTCTTGACCTTGGTCAGGGAAACTTCTCTTTGCAGTGTGCGGCTGTTAACACAAAGCTGGTTAAAGACTGACTGTGTGTGCTCAGCCATAAATGGGACAATCCACAAAAACAAGCCACCCTCCCACCATGCAAGGCTGAGTACACGGTAGAAGAGTAACTGGAAACAATGTAAGAGCCGAAGGACGTAGGAGTGCATTGAAATGCTGTCTTCTGGACAGGACACGGTAACTGCAGTAATGACCTCGCGACTACCTACACCAGGGGATCAAGCCAGTCCAATTCAAGCACGGCTAAAGACGGGGTTCCTGAGGCCCCACCCTAGCTAAGGCATTAGTAGCAGTTGATGGTTACTGGAAGAAGGTGTGGCCACTGGTAGGTTAATCCCACCTCCATGCACATATGCACAGCACTAACTGGACTTTGGATTATTTGAGAAGGACATGAAATTGGGAAGAGATGTGTTCAAGAGGGACTTAGGGGGAACTGGGAGTGAATGGGATCAAAATACATTGTATACATGTCTTAAATTCTCAAAGAATAAATATCAGATATTACATTAAAAATCCTCTGGCTGGGCTCCAAGTCAGTTTCTAAGATATGGAAGAACCCAGTGAAATTGATGATCCATCAATAGAATTTTTCCTGCCCAAGGTCTAGAGAATAAAAGACAAAGACTTAGCAATGCTGCCTGACAGAACTCCGACTGAGGGCCGGGGCCCTAGCTCAGCAGGGAAAGGCTCTTGCCGCCTAGCAAGCCTGGGGACTTGAGTTCAACCCCAGGACCTAGCTGACCAGACGTCAGAGAACTGACCCTATTAGTTGTCATCTAATCTCGATATGTACACTGTTTACATGGCAAACAGATAAATGTAGTGAGAGTCTTGAAGTAAAGGGGAAGAAAGTTGAGTGTGTGAAGAAATAATGACTCCTCCTCCAAAAAATCTGAAGAAAACCATTTACAAATTCCCAAGTTTCAATGAATGGCAAGCAGAACACTAAAGAAATGACTCCTCTGTGAATCACAATGACATCCACAGAAAATCAGCAATGAACAGAAAATGTTGACTACAAACAGGAAACGCCCATGTAGAGGGCAGCAAGTCATTGCTACACTGAACAGTACATCCAAATGCTGATGATTTCATTAAAATCCTCCAAACTGAAACTTTTAGCTACAAAAAAGCTCTCCCTGAGAAAAGAAAAAGAAACAGAAAACTCATATTCAGTGAGTTTGAGACTAGCCTGGGCTACGTAAGATCCTGTCTCAAAAAGTAAAATAAAATAACAACAACAACAAAAACCCCTACAATTACTGATGTAAGGAAAACCATAATTTCTGTTGATCATAACATGACTCTGAGGGGAAGGGGAACAACCTTACCTGTGATGTGCTATCTGCCACTTTCTTATTAACAGAAGAATCTACTGTTTTGTTTGTCTGGTTTTCTGAGGATTTAAAAAAAAAAAAAAAAAAGAAGAAAAAGGAAATTTAACACATGTATAATATGTAAAAGGTCAGGCTGCAACTATTTTTCTATCAGCATGTTACAGATGGTTTCTCTCACAGATCAGAAGGCAACTTCACATTATAAACTTTAAAGCTTTATATACTCATTACCCAGCAACTTAAACTATCCTAAAGAATACCTGAGAAATGTAATTTAACATTTGTACAACATGAATATTCCAAGATGAGAAAATAGTTAAGTGAAACACCATTCTTCCACAAGATGTGGAAATCTTTGGGGGAAAATTTTAGATCAGAAATGTTCATAATAAATTCATTACAGAAGGTTACAATAACCATGAGAAACATGTATCGGTTCAAGTACAGACTACTTTTCTTTTGTGTGCTTTGTGCAGGTGTGCATGCTCGTTCATGGCTATGTCTGGAGGCCAGAGGGTGACATCAGCTGTCTCCCTCATCACCCGCCACCTTATTCTTTTAGGAAGTCTTTCGGTGAACCTGGAGTTCATGGATTCTGTCAGGTTGGTTGGACAAGGAGCTCCAGGAATCTGCCTGCATCTGCACTCCTATGCTGGGCTTAGATTCTGCGACCAGGCCAGGCCCTGAACTGGGGTTCTCACACTTGAGCAGTAGGCAGTTCAGAGTCATGTAACCACCCAGATGACTTTCCTGTATCATGGGAAAGTTTCCATGGGAAAATTGTTATTTACATGTAAACTGAAAAGCAAGTGTTCCTGCCCAGTTTCTAATAGACAGAAGAGAAATTGTAAGGTTTTATAAAGTATCTTTTACATCCATTGAAGTGATTCACTTTCATTCTTTGATTATAATTAGTTGCATTATCAATAGTGTTCTTATGTCAAAACATCCCATCCTCTTTCTGGTGGTAACTTCTTGGTCAAAATACGGTGTTCTTGTTCTTTTCAAACCCTCATACACAGAGAAGGCCATTTATACTTAAAAACTGATAAAACTGTCTACCCTACATATAGAATTCTACATTTAAAGAATCAATTAAGATAAACACCCACATGTTAAAATCCAAGGGCAGGAAACTAAAAAGCAAGTCTTCATGAATTTTTCCAACCTTGCTTCAATTTTATTTCTGGAAAAGTAACATATTAATATAAACTTACTTTTAAAAAAATATTTTTAAATTGGCAGGATGTAGTGGTGCATGCCTTTAATTCCAGCACTTCGGAAGCAGAAGCAGGCAGAGCTCTGTGAGACAGAGGAAGTTCTAGGCCTACAGACTCTACATAGCAAGTTCGAGGCCTGACAGAACTACATAAGACCCTGTCTTAAAAACAATGAAAATATATAAATACTAAATACACACACACACACACACACACACACACACACACACACACACACACACTTTCCTGAAAGACTTTTACCATAAAATTAGTTCTAGGTTTACTTGTCTTACATGCTAAAGAATTAATATACACAAGCACTATTACCAAAACATCAGACTTTGTTTTTTTTACATACATACTAAATGCATGTTGTAGCATGAATCTTAAAAGGTCTTATTAAATAAAAACAGACCCAGAGTCAGGTATTGGAGTAAACGCTGAAAGATCAGAGAAACAGAACAAGCCACATCCAACCTAACCTTGACAACTTCTCAGCTGATCTTGTTTCCTTAAACTGGAAGCCTCTTGAGTCCTCATCCGAATGGATCTCAGCTGAACTGCTGCTAAAAGCCTAAAAACTTAGACTCTAGTTCCTGGTCCTCTCTTATATACTTTTCTGCTTCCTGCCATCACTTCCTGGCATGAGTCACCATGCCTGGCTGTTTCCAGTGTGGCTTTGAACTCACAGAGATCCGGATGGATCTCTGCCTCCAGAATGCTAGGATTAAAGGTGTGTGTGCCACCATTTTCTGGCCTCTATGTCTATCTAGTGGCTGTTCTGTTCTCTGACCCCAGATAAGTTTACTAGGGTGCACATATGGAGGACACAATATCACCACATTTCCCCCTTTTTGTCTAAATAATAAAGGAAACTTATAACTAATATAAAATATATACAATAAGTATATACAATATATAGTCAAGAATTACATTAACAATGTCTAGTCCATTAACATTTGACAGATTCAGACAAAAAACACCATTATATAAATTAACAATGTCCAGTCCATTAACATTTAACAAATTCAGACAAAAAATTTCATTATTTATCCTGTAAAAATCTAATCCAATATAAAATATTTAAAACAAGTAGTTCCTCATTAAAAGTAGATTCAACAATCTACCTTTTTATTATATCCATATACTTTTTTCTTTTCTGAGTAGATTCAAAAGTCTACCTTTTATTTTATCATTTCTGTATCTTCTCTTCTTTCTTTTTAGAGTAGATTCACTAATCTACCCTTTTATCCTATTATTTCTATATCTTTTTTTCAGAGTAGATTCAATGATCTACCTCATATCTATAGTATGTACATATGTGTATTTATATATGTGCATATATATGTGTATGTGTTTGTATGTGTGCATATGCTGTTTTGTTATCCAGAATGATTCTATTCTTAGCATAATTGTCTCAGAGTAAGGTAATTATTCACAAAACTGTAACAAAATTCCTTTATCCAGATTTTCAATATGTCCTGTCCTTTTCATTTTTACAGGCTAAAAATTCCTTCAAATTTTTGTTTGTTTGTTTTTTGTTTTGTTTTCTCGAAACAGGGTTTCTCCGTGTAACAGCCCTGGCTGTCCTGTCCTGGAACTCACTCTGTAGACCAGGCTGGCCTCGAACTTACAGAGATCTGTCTGCCTCTGCCTCCCGAGTGCTGGGATTAAAAACATGCGACACCACTGTTTTATGCAGCATTTTTAATGCAGCATTTTTCAGTCTCAGTCCATATTCCCTGTTCTACTACCTATCTGAGCTACTTCTCAAAATAGGAAGTTAGAAACCATCCATCAATCAACAAAATTAACCAAGATGTGAAATCAAATTATCGCTTAAAATCTTTCTATCATGTAGGATACACATTTACTTTTGTTACCTGCTTGATGGATTATGTTATCTAACACCAGCTGGTCATTTTTAACAAGCCTTCCTATTTCTACATGAACGTATGTGTGCGTGAGCGTATGCGCGCATGGGCGCCTGCCTGCCTGTCTGTCTGTCTGTCTTGAATGCCAGTCTGTTTACCACAAGTATGCAGGTGCCTCTGAAGGCTGTAAGAGGGTGTCAATCTTCTGGAGCTGGAATTACAGGCAGCTGTTAATTTTGCAATGTGGATGCTGGAAACTGAACCCAGGTCCTCTGCAAGAGCAGCAAGTGCTCTTAACTGCTGAGCCATCTCTCTACTGCAGTCTTACTAGGGTCCTCAAGGTCCTTTCCAGGTACAGACTGGTAGTATTCTATTGTAGGTCTGAATGAGTAGAGATAGGAGGCAGAAAGCGTGCAGAAACTCAAAGGAAATTATGGGTGAAGGAGTAACTTCTTAGTGTTATTAAAAAATCTAGTCTTCCCATATTTTGGAATGAAAGATGTTTAGTAAATTCTATACAACTATATAACACCCTTACAAATCAACTACCCCTTAATATCTATCTCACTAAATGAGACTTAACATTTAATGTTTTAAAAGGCCCAACCAGGAGCTGGAGAGATGGCTTAATGGTTAAGAGCATAGCGAACTATTCCTGCAGAGGACCCGTATCTCAAGCTCCAACACCCTTATCACCCAGTTCACAATGAACTAACTCCAGTTCTAAACATACAGACACCTGCTCTCCTCCTCATACACATTTAAAAGCAAAATCCAAACCATTTTTAAATTTAGCATTTCTCTTAGAATTAATCTTTGTTTTAAAAAAATTGATTGATTTTATGTATGGAGGCGTTTTGTTTGCAAGTATGCCTGAGCATACCTTGGTACCCAAGGAGTCCAGAGGAGGGCACCAGATCCCCTGGGACTGGAGTTAAAAGACTGTGAACCGCCTTCTGGATGCTGGGAATCAAACCTGGGTCCTCTGGAAGAGCAGCCAGTCTTTAACTGCTGAGATGTCTCTGTAGCCCTTGCTAACAACTCTTACATTAACAAATTATCAAGTTGTTATCAAATTAGACTAGTTTTTTCTCTTCTGCACTTTCCTTATGCTTCCATCTCTCATCTAATGTACTGCTCCTGCCTCATCTCATCTTCTGGTCACCCTATTTTCAATCAAACAGTTTTCCACACTGCAGTCAATATTCATGGTTGCCATACTCCTCCACACACAAAAGAATTATGTAATGTTTCAAGGACTCTCATCCACTTTTACATCTTATCAAACAGCCTACTTTTATATTTATTACATTTATAACTACTTATTTAATAGCAAGACTACATATCTAATCTATAGTTAGTGAGAAAAGGACTATCTTAAATGTTTCTATGTGCCACAGGACATTAGAATATTACAAGCACCAATTATTTCTTGAAGGAATTATGTACAATTTGAGCCCTAAAGGGTAGTACTTCATTATAAACAAGAACTATTTACTTAAAGTCCATTAAGGATATAATGAACTATAACAAATATGTACAAATGTAACTGAATTATATAGAACATATTTTATCAAGTAAATATATGTATATAAATATAAGACATGGCAAGTTTTAGTTATATGACCTAATAATTTATAATAATATGGGTATATAATTTAACATCAATTTTCATATACACCAAAAATTTGCCATTTGATTCCAGCTTCAATTATGGGTATCATCTATGGCATCTCTGAAATTAGGCATGTTCAAAGAATATGGGTTTTTTGTTGTTGTTGTTTTTTGTTATGTTTTTTTGAGACAGGGTTTCACTGTGTGGCCTTGGCTGCCCTGGAGCTCTCTCTGTAGACCAGGCTGGCCTTGAACTCAGAGATCCCTCTGAGTTTTCCTCCCAAGTGCTGGGATTAAAGGTGTGCGCCACCAGTTTCTGGTGATAAATGGTTTTTAATTATCCCTTGCAATAAACTTCTAAAATTAGATACTTAAAATGTATTTACTCAATTGTCCTGGTCCACCTAATCAATCATAAAAACTATAATGCTTGCTACAAAACCTGTTTACCCCATTTTTCCAATAACGCTAGGAAGAGCTTAATCACTGAAAGGCCATTAATGTGTTTTTGTTTCTGTTAATAAGCAAACTAACTTACCGCTTCTTGGGGTGGCAGAGCTATTTTGTTCTGCAGAAGATGAAGTGCTAAAAGCAGATATTGGGATTTTCATCTGTATTGGGCCTCGATTGTTTGATGAGCTATAGAGTCCTGATGGGCCCACTGTGGGTAAAGAAGTCCTTGTGGCTTGCACAATAGAGTGTGCAGTTGGAACGGCCTGTACAGCAAGGGTGGTCCCCAAGGGTGCAGCAGTGGTGGAAGAGTTCCTCTGAACACCAGGACTGGGCACTGACGGAGTGTTTGGTTTGGTGGGGTTTGGCATGGGTGGCAAGGGTACTGGGTTTTTGGTAAGTCCACTCACTGTTGGTGGGCTTTGCACGGATAGGAATTCAACACTGCCAGATGGTTGATTCGTCATTATAGTCCCTGGATGGCTTTGCAGGAGCTGAGGCTGAGAGCTTACGGCAACAGGAACATGCAGAATCACTGGCAAGGGCTGCAGCGAGATTGTAGGCTGAGGGTTTCCACTAGGCACCTGAGTGGTGGCAACTACTGTGGCTGTGCTGGGAGCAGGAAGAAGAGATGCTGCCGGCAGAGAACCTGAGGTGGCTGAAGTCTGCAGTTTAGGCTGACTACTGACAATTGCTGGAGGAGTGACGAGACTGGCTGAAGACACTAAGGAGAAAAACACAAGTCTCAGTCTAGACAGCCACCTTAATTTATCAGCTAAAACTAAGTCACAAGTTCAATATATTATATACAGAAAAGCTATCAGACACAAAAAAAATTTCAGGTTTAAGTTCGAAAACACTGAAATGTTTACAAGCACTTTTGTGTGTACACTTGGTGTCTTTACAAAATGCCACATGATTTGATGTTAATATATAAGATTGCTATCTCAGTATCAAAACAGATCTTGAAAATTACAACATTCACTTCAGAGGAACTGGAAAAACAATTAAAAAATACTGAAAACTAGGTAAAAATATGCAGGTATTTTTTTAACCTCATTCTATTCAACACAAGCAAGAAATGTGGAAAGAACTGCCCATTAGTGAGTGAAGCTGATTACTGTGGGATATCATTCTGTATGTTGTGAATATGTGTTGCTCCGATTGGCTGGTAAAGAAAACATTGATTGGCCAGTAGCCCGGCAGAAAGTATAGGTGGTCGAGAGATGAAGAGAATTCTGGGAAGAGGAAGGGCTGAGTGAGGAGTCGCCAGCCAGACACAGAGGAAGCAAGATGACAAGGCAGAACTGAGAAAAGGTACCAAGCCACATGGCTAAATATACATAAGAATTATGGGTTAATTTAAGTGTAAGAGATACTCAGTAATAAGCTTGAGCTAATGGCCGAACAGTTGTAATTAATATAAGCCTCTGAGTGATTATTTTATAAGCGGGCCATGGGGCTGGGCTGCAGGGGCTTGGCGGGACCTGCAGAAGATTTCCAGCTACAGCTGATGGCTGTATTTTACCACTGGAACCAGAGAAAACCTGACAGTCTTACTGAGTTCCTTGGGAAAGAACTCACTCTGGGAAAAGGATCCCTTCAAGAAGAGCATGTAAATACTACTGATAGAGAGGAAAGCACTGAGTGAAAAAAAAAAGAGATGAATTAAGAAATAGAACACATACCAAAGAGAGAAAAGACTCAGTGCTGACCACAGAGATTTACAGTAGCTTACGACTCAACTACTTAGGTTTAGTCTCATTGGAACAGATTTAAAATATACTTAATTGACTACTCAGATATCTAGTCTTTCCAAAATCATAGGTACACCAGAGCAGTAATTCTCAGTAAGTGCAGAGGGATAGCTATAGTTTCCTGGGAACCTTGCGTGGAGTTTACAATGCCAAGACTATTTTCATAATAGTAATGAGACATTTGAATTTTACACTATGTGGACAAAAGGTGAATGCCTATTGGCTTAGTTCAGCAGCTCCATATCTGTAGAAATTATATCCTAAGAGTCCCAGTGATGTATAAGGCAGAGAATAGAGAACCTTACACACACCACATCTTTTCCAAGTAGCCATGTAACCTTTAACAACATGGGTATGTTTTGAGAAATGTGTCATTACATAATTCCAATGCTGTATGATCACAAGACTGAACAAATCTAGCTGGGATACATCAATCATTCAATGGGTCAAGAGACAGTAACTATGAAATATATGCAGCTACTACAAGCATAAAATGGCACATCAGTTTACAGTAAACTATTGGTAACAGTAATAAAGCAGTAAATAGTTGTCATTAGGTATCCTACACAATTCTATATTTGTCTGTATAGCTCACAATGCTGGATCTCTGTTCCCATGAACATAACACACTTGGGAGTAACATGGGGAGCTACGACAGTAAAACAGCTATGGCCTCAGCCGCTGATAAGAATCTCTCAGCTCCATTATGATCTCACCAGATCACCATTTTAAATGCATTCACAACTCATTGAAATGTCATTATGTGGCACATGATTGTACACCTATCCTACAGTAAAGTTTAATTTGGAAATTAGGCATAGTTAAAAATAATGCCTAATAATAAAATAATTATCACAATAAAAGATATGAATTATTAATGGAATGGTCCATGTAATATTTGTAGTGGTAACGAACAATGGGAAATGAGACTGTGATAAGGAGAAAACTACAAAATCCAAGGTAGTAAAGAGGTACCAAATACTCCTGTCACACTAAGCCTTCACTAACAAATGCTTATTATAATATTTTAAAAATGTAAATTTTACTTTAAAATGTCCATAAAGTAATAAAAACTACCATTTCTATTATGTCCTATCCTCCAACAAAATCATATGCTGGCCTTGAATTATGATCTAGCTGCCACAGCCTGCCGAGTTCTGGAATTACAGGTCTGCACACAAGACTCAGTTTGTTCAAAGAGTGACTTAGAAAAACAGTGAGAAAAGCATGTGATTTCTGGCTCTGTTCTGCACTAGCTCCACAGAAACCACCATTAGAGGGGAGCATCCAGCTACCTAGCCCATTCCCATCTGTCTGGGTAAGGCTACATTTCTTTCCCAGATGAAGTCAGCAGACTGGAAGATTGAAAGCAGGTACAGAACTAGAATCCAGCCAGCATTAGCTGCTTACCATCCTAACCAGGATTTTAAAGAAATGTGGAAGAGGCAGCACGTCCCTGTTTTCACTGGTAATGTGTACGTCCACGGATGCTCCCATGTGGACGTGGACATGTGGAGGTCGGAGGACGGCTCCAGGGCCGATCCTCTGGTGGCATTCACCTTTCTCTTTAGTGTTTCCATTGCTCCCTGGCACTAGCTTCACACACACCCTTCTGCGTCTTGGTGACAGCCACTCCCCACCTCCTTTTTGTTTCCCTTTGCTGAGACAGGGTCTCTTCCTGGCCTGGAGCTCACCATGGAGGCTGGCTGGCCAGAGCCTGTTCCCTCTCTAGCACTGGGACAGCCTAGTGTGGTGGCTGCCTTTATTTGTTTGTTTGTTTGTTTAGTGGGGGTTCTGGATATGAGATTCAGATCTCTACCATTTCACTGATTATTTTTTAAAAATACAGTTGTTTTCTATTTTAAAAAAGTTTTTGTGTGCATATTACAAGATTATTATAATTTATTTCTGTGGGGCTTTTGTTTACTCAAGACAAAGGCTCACTATGCAGCCCTGGCTGTCTTAGAATTCACTATGTAGACCAGGCTGGCCTTGAATGAGATCCACCTGCCTCTGGGCTTATTATTAATTTTAAGTGAACAAAAGACCTTAAATTTTTATTTTACATCAATTGATAGTATCAATTAGTTTAACTCAAAAATTCTCTGGAGTTCTTAGTAATTTCATGAGACTATAAAGGGCCCTAGAGATAAAAAAAAAAAAAAAAAAAAAAGGCTGAGAAGTACTACACTGGGAATTTCAATGTCTATCTTTTCATGCATACTTATATTTTATTCTGAAATTTTTTGAAATATATTCATATTTATACCAAAGTGTCCTGTTTTCTAACCCATTCTAACCACAAAAGAATATAAGAGAACCAAAGATGTTAGGGCCCAAGAAAATGTATTTTTGGTATTTAAAAAAAAAAAAGTTACCTGTATTCACAGGAGTTTGAAAGGATGGTGGTGGACCCTCGCTAACATTTCTTTTGGACTCCAGCATCTGTCGCACTGTGCCTGCATTTCTATGAAACAGATACACGTACAGTCAATGGCGATGCCACCCTAGGGGAACCCACCAAAGCACAGGAAAAACAGTGGTCCATGGTGGGCAAGGGTAAGATCTGAGGTTTGCACCCTTTGCCTGAAGCCACAGTGGGTTCACAGACTTCGGCCATGTCAGATAACACTGGAGCAGCGTTCCTGTCTGTAGTCCACTGTCATGAGGTACCTAAGTAAAGGCACATTCTCACCACTGACCAAAGCAGTTCTCAATTGCTAAAAACTATTAATGACATGTTCTTAAAGAAATATGTAGGGTTTGGGGGAGGGGTGGCCCCTAGATTTAATCCTTAACACTGCCAAAGGAAAGAAAAAAGTCTTAACAAAAGAAAATATTGTAATAAATTAGCAAAAACAATACATAATATAAAGGGAAAGTAGAAAAGCAGCTATGACTTGATGCATTTACTGCTACACAGGTATTTACAGTTTCATGCCAAGACTAAACAGAACCTTGCTTTCTAAGTTAAACACAATGCACAGACTGTGGTCGTACCTGTAGGTCACATTGTTATTGCTGCTGACATCACTGGCAGGCTTTCCTGGTGATATAGGTGGGTTTGGAGGGCTCTGAAAGGGGAAATACCAAAGTAAAAAATAAAACCCAATATATAGGAATTATTTTAAAAAAAAAAGACATTCAAGTACTTTCTCAATATTTGATCTATTATTTAACTAATAAAATAGAAAAACACTGCAGGATCAGATATCAATACTTTGTCTTTTCCTATTTTCTTGTGGAAGTTTTTCTTCATAAACCTCAAATTTTTCCATACTGTCAATCTCCAGATGGTAACTTTGGTCATTTTTCTTTCAGATGGTGTTCCCTCTATCTTAGTAGCTATTCTACACAATTTACTTCTCTTTAGGAGCTGGCAATTGTCTTGAATATTTCTCAGAATACTCTGTAGGGCTCTGTGGTCATCTGGAGATGCTCTATGTGTGTAAGGCAAGGACCTCAGTGCAGTAAGCAGCAGCAAGCTGGCTGGGCAGCAAGCTCCTCAGTGCATTCTCCTCTTCAAGGGAAGATTCGAGCAATGCTGTTCACTGCAGTGAGGAAAGGCTCTAGGCTGTGTGCATGTTCACAGCTAGGAACACTGCTGCAACTCCTCTTATCTCCTGGTCGCCTTTACAGAGCTTGCTGTTTCTTTAAAATAACATTAAATAACTACTTCACTCTACATTTTAAATAAAACAAAATAGTAAAATATACTATTAAGATAACAACATTGATAATGTTCTTCAATCCCACAAAGGCAGCCAGACTTCTCAGTCTAGAATGAGGTCTGGGGGCAGCAACTTTGTGATTCATTTGTGACCCACTAGTTTCAGAAGCTTTTTCTTCATTTTCTTGACAATATATGAAATCTAAAGCTCTCTTACTTTCCTATAGTAACAGCACAATGGATGAATGACTATATGGGGAAGAAGAGAAGAGAAAATGGGAATACAAGAAGACACAGAAGGCTAACATGCTTTAAGGGAATATAAACTAAACTAAGACACTAGTAAGAATGTCCTAAAGAAAAAACAAGGTAAGACTAATCTCCAAAACATAACCTTTGTTTTGTGAAGCCGAGTTTTATGTAGTCTAGGCTGGCATAAAACTCTCTGTAAGCCAAGTTTATAGCCTTATCCTTCCCTCCCTTCTCTCTAGTACTGGGATCACTGGTATATAGCACCAGGCCCTGTCCCATGTGGTGCTGGGATGCAATCCGGTGCTTCCCATGCTAGGTGAGCACACTACCAACCAAGCTATATGCCCAGCCTTTAAAAACAGAATTTTAAAGACAGAAAACATAGTTTCAAGAATTCTGCAACCTCAAGTAGATGAACAGAAATGCTGACATTTAAGAATACTGAAGAGAATAATTAAAGGTTCAGTTCAAAAACCTACACAAATATGTGGAAGAAAGCGAATTTCACAGTAATGATAAAGGAAATGTTAGTCAGCACCTCCTAAAATTACACAGGTAACTGAATATAGTGTTTTGAATAACAATTGTCCCCATTGGCTCATAGATTTGAATGTTTGGTCAACAGGGAATGGCACTATTAGGAGGCGTGGCCTTTGGAGGAAGTGTGTAACTATGGGTGGGCTTTGAGGTTTCAGAAGCTCAAGCCAGGCCAGTGTCTCACTCTTTTCCTGCTGCCTGCCAATCCAGATGTAGGACTCTCAGCTGCCTCTCCAGTACCATGTCTGCCTGTGTGCCACCATGCTCCCCACCATGATAATAATGGAAGCTCTGAAACTGTAAGACAGCCCCAATTAGAAACCCTAACTAAGACAGAAGTTGGTACCAGGGACTGGGGTATTGTTGTATAGGCCTGACCATGTTTCTTGTTGGCAGAGTGTGGACTTTGGAACTTTAAATTGGGAAAGCAGTAGCACTTGAAGTGGGGGCTTAATGGGCCATCCTAGTAGAAAGGTGAAGGACAATGGTGCTGAGAGCAATACAGATTATGAAGGCTGGGCTCAAGAAGTTTCAGAGATGAATAAAATTAGTAAATGGACTACAAATTGTTATTTTGTGATAACTCAGAAAAGACTGTGGCTGCTTTCTGCCCTTGTCCAAAAAATGTGCTTGAGGTTAAAATGAAGATTTTTGGACTAATGGCACTAGCAGAGGAGATTTCAAAACAGCCTAGTCTTTCTTGACTGTGCTGCATGGTTATTAGTGAACAGTCTTATGCAGATCTATAATGAAGAGAAGAAGGCTGAGAAAGAAAAAGCACAAAATGTACAGTCTGAGGAGAAAGGGGACACCAGAAAGTATAATAAAGTTAAGTCTTGTGCTCAGAGATAAACAGATTTTTTTAAAAGCTTGATACTAGATGGAATAAAGAGAGTGAAAACCTCGGGGCAAGATCCCACCCAGCTAAACTTCCAACTTGTGAAAAGGAATTAAAAGAAAAGCGTAGGGTTGGGTGTGGTGATACATGCCCTTATCCTCAGTACTCAGGAGGTAGAGGCAGGTAGATCTCTGAGTTTGAGGCTAGCTTGATCTACAGAGCAAGTTTCAGGACATCCAAACTTATTCAGTGACGAAAACAATCGAAAACAGAAAGCTGGTAGAAATATATTTGAATAACAGGTACATGTTCCAGCTCCAGCAAGCGGCAGAACTTGGCAACTTTGGCCACATAATTCTGGCTTTAGAGTCAAGGATATAAGGAAGAGGTTGTGGAATCTCCTTCTGCACCTAAGGAAAGCCACAGGCCAGGGATGTGGCATGGGTGTCCCTGCATAGAGGAGGCCCAGAGAGGACAACAGTGCAGGAAGCTGTGGAGGTAAAGCCTGGATTGCCTTGAAGACCCCAAGATGTTGGAGATGGCCAGTCATGGGATAACTGCTAAGGAGATCTACAACAGGGAGTGGAACCAGCCTGAGAGAAAGAAGTGTGTGCAGTCAACAAAGCTGAACGGAGTTGGAGATCTGAAGAGCATTCTGATATCAGACATAGAGATGCAGAGTCTGGAGTTTGCCCAGCTGGTTTTTAGTCCGGGTTTGTCCCAGTATTTCATTACTGTGTTCCCTTTTACTCCCTTTTGGAATGGTAATGTATATCCTATGCCATTGTTTGTTGGAAGTATGTGATCTGGTTTTTTATTTTGATTTTATAGAGGGTTACACTTAAGAGATTGCCTTGAGTTTCAGAAGAGACTTTGAACTTTGGACATTTGAACAGTATTGGGACTGTTATAGACTATGGGGACTTTTGAAGTTGGACGGAATGTATTGCATTATGATATGGCTATAAGCCTATGGGGGACAAAGAATGGAATGTGGTAATTTGAATAAGAATGTCCCCCATAGGCTCAAAGATTTGAATGCTTGAGCACCAGGAAGTCGCACTATTAGGAAAAGTGGCCTTGTTGGAGGAAGGGTATCACTGACGGTGCACTTTGAGGTTTTAAAATGCTTAAGCCAGGCCCAGTGTCATTCTCTCTTCCTGCTACCTGCCCATCTGAATGTAGAAATCTCAGATACCTCTCCAGCACCATGTCTGCCAGTGTGCCGCCATGCTTCCTACCATGATGATAATGGACTAACCCTCTGAACTGTAAGCCAGCCGCAATTAAATGTTTTCTATTATAAGAGTTGCCATGGTCATGGAGTCACTTCACAACAGTAAAACACTAAGACAATGAACATGGCTAGAACAGAAATGCTTACTTCTTGTCTTTTCTTAAGATCGTCTTTGGCTGCTCCAAAACGTTTGGTTAATCTGGCTATCTTGGCCTAGAAAACAAACAAACAAAAGTCAAGTAGTATAACTCCTTTAAAGTCTGCTATACACAAGAGAAATCTAAAGATAACAGGCTCTTTAAAGGAAAGACAAGCTGATTATAAAATACATACTTGGAAAACACAGAAAATTACAGGAAACCCACTGTAGTCCCTGAAATAATTGCCAGGTGTAAATACTAATACACCAGCTTGCCCTTACCAAAACTAGATGCGTTCACTTTCCACCAGAATATTTTGGAATATGTAAAGTTTTATTTGTAGTTATTTTTCAAAATGGTGATAATTAAATTTAACTTTCTTACTGAAAACATTCAGGCATGTAGGCATACATGCAAGTCCTAAGAGATCCCTTGATAAACTACTTGGATATCTATGTACTGTAGAGACTCATTTGTACATGCACTTTTCTACTAGAGCAATGGTTCTCAACCTTCTTCACACTGAAACCCTTTTATACAATTCCTCATATTGTGGTGACCCCACCACCACCATAAAATTATTTTGTTGCTACTTCATAACTGTAATTTTGCTACTGTCATGAATTATAATGTAATACCTGATATGCAGGATATTATATGTGACCCCTGACAGGGTCATGGCCCACAGGCTGAGAACTGCTGTACTAGATAGAGGCTGATTATACAAATGTTTTTTCTACTGGATAAGGTGAATGTTTTCCAGTGCATTGATATAGTCGTACAAGGCTATAATTGATGGCTTGATAACTTTTTTCTTTCAGAATATTTCTTGAGGGTCATTCAGAGAAGTGGAATTCTCAGTGACTAAATGTTTTCCAGAAAGGCTTTACTGACTCTACAGCAGGTGAGATGAGGGTTTATAAATTACCCTTTGAAAGGCAAGAGGAGCTCAGAAGGCAAACAACCCTTTCAGGTCTAACCTGTTTAGAATTCACAGAGAAAACAGTTCAGTGACATTTTGCCTTCTAAAGCAAGTGAACTGCCAACTGACAAGCTCAGGGAAAACACATCAGAGCATTCTGAAACTCTCTCTTCAGCTAGTCTTCTGCTTGCTTTTGGTTTGTTCTGTATTCCTTTGTGTCTCTCTCTCTCTTGCTTGGCTCAAGCATTCTGTCTCTTTGTCAGAGTGTGTGTGTGTGTGTGTGTGTGTGTGTGTGTGTGTGTGTGTGTGTGTATCTGTGCACGCTTAACACTCACTGCAGCTTCTCATTCCTTCACAGCATGTTTTTCCTGTCTTTCATAATTTGCTTCTCCTGTTCTGTCCTTTTCCTATTCCCTTTTCTATTCTAATTAACTATGATTTAATTTTTAAGTCCTGAGTTTATCATATGTGTCCTGGGTTTTTGCTCTTCTACCCTAAGTAGGAAAACAGATATGTTTGTAATTAGTACTACATTTAAGGATGTTGTGCAAGATGGCTGAGCACTTGCAGGCCCCTGATCCACATACCAGAAAGGGAGTCTACCTTTGCAAGCTGTCTTGATTCCACATGTGCACCATGTATGTACATACACACACACACACATGTATATATATACACACACACACAAACTAAATAACTGTAATAAAAATTTAAACATCCAGGTTTTGGGTTTTTTTTTAATATCAATTGTTACTGTGGTATATTCTCTCTCCTCTCAGTGGTAAGAGAGACTGAGACCTCAAGAGAAAGCAGCCAGCTAAAACATGAAACCAGAAGTATCAATCAACAGATATATACATTAAGATGTAGAAACACAGACATGTGAGAGTTCTCCACAAGTTAATGACCCTTTAATAACTGAACCCAAAGATAACAAAGTGATTGAAATGCCAAAGAATTCAAAAATAAAATTTTAAAAAGAACTATCACGTCAATGAAAAAAATAAAGTTAAATGAAGTAAAGCAACTTAGGTATTTAGAGATAACAAATTCAAATTTAACACAGAGATATTCTGGAGAATAATTTAAAATTAATGGAAATATTAGAAATTAAAAGGCCAATAAAAAAATTTAAAACTCAGTGGGATGCATCACCCAAAGACTTATCAATCAGAAGAAAGAATATCAGTGACTGAAAACAAGGTAAGGAATTCTTATATTCATACAGTAATAAAGGAAAATAATAAGAATAATGAACCATAACCGTAACTTTCAGCAACTCCGATCAAGAGTCTAATTTAATAATCCCTGAGGCACAAGGAGCTGAGATGCAAACTAAAAGCATAGAAAATCTATTCAATCATATTATAGCAGAAAATTTCCAATTTAGAAAATGACGTTTGGGCTGGAGAGATGGTTTAGCAGTTAAGAGCACTCACTGGCTGCTCTTCTAGAGGTCCTGAGTTCAATTCCCAGCAACCACATGGTGGCTCTGTACATTACAACCATCTGTAATGAGATCTGGTGCCCTCTTCTGGCCTGCAGGCATACATGCAGACAGAATACTGTATATATAATAAATCTTTAAAAAGAAAAATAAAAGAAAAAGACGTTCAAGTGTAGGAGGTATTTAGAACCCTAATCAGATATGACTAGAAAGAAACTCTTCATGTCACATTATAGTTAAAATAAATTATCAATAGTACTCAGCAAAGAATGCTGATAGCTACAAAAGTAAAGGGCCATCTTACAAAGGTAAATTCATTATAATTTTATTACCACATAAAACCTAAAAGTCGGGAGAGCATGGAATGATATATTTCAGGTAAATCACTACCAAATAGTTTACAATATTCAGGAAAGTTATCCTCTAAATTCTAATGGGGGCGGGGGGGAGTCATCCTAAGATGAAGAAACACTAAATCAAACCATGACCACTTAAATCAAAATTAGAAAAAATTAGAGAATCCTACATAAAGAGGAAAGTCTCAATCACAAAAGCTTAGGGAAAAATGAGTTCCATGAGAATGTATGAACAAACAGAATTAGGAAATAATAAAAAAAATTCAATATAGTGACCCAGCAAACTTCTAAGATGAGTAAGGGAGAAAGAAAAAAAAATACTCAAATCAACTGAGGAACTGGGGCCATGGAAGAAGACAGAATTCCAAGAATGAGCATAAAGCTCTTAGTAATAAATGTAAATCATCTTCACTCTCCAGTTCAAAGATGCAGACAGACTGAATAGATTAAAACAGGAAAAAAAAATCCAACTTATTACTGCCTGCAAGAAACACATTACACTGACAAAGATATAGAGTTAATGTGAAAGAATGGAAAATGATATTCCAAGCAAATGATAACTGAAACCAAGGTGGAGTTTACATACATATTTGATAAAGCAGAACTTAAGCCAAAGTTAGAATAAAGAAGTTCATTGTAATACTAATAAAAAGGCAAATGATTATACATCCATTTTCATTCTCAATGCAGAATTATTGGGGAATATACTACACATTTTGTTTGAGGAACTCCACTGATTGAATAAAGAAGCATTTAGGTGGAGAGTGAGAGCAACTGAGGATGTAGCTCAGTTGGTAGAGTGTTTGCCTAGCATGAACAACGCCCTGCGTTTGACCCCTAACACCACAAAATCCAGGTATGATGGTGTATGCTTATAATCCTAACAGTAAGTGGAGGCAGGAAACCAGAAGATCAAGATCATCCTCAATTATATATACAAAAAGTACTTACCTTTAATATGGATCAATAAACTAACATCTTTTAAAAAATTACGTGTATAAATGTTTCCACCAGCATGTACACACATGCACCATATATGTAATGTGTCTTGTGCTCAAGGAGGGCAGTAAAAGTTATTAGATCCCCACTGGAGTTGCAGATAGTTGTGAGTCACTATGTGATTGCTGAGACCTGAACCTGGGTCCTCTGCAAGAGCAGCCACTGCTCTTAACCACTGAGTCATCTCTCCAGCACTATTTAACATCATTAAAACATAGTGGCCACAGAGAAAGTAGACTGATCGAAAAATAATCCTTCACAAATATTTTGCATCTATGGTATGCTATATACCAACCTTCAGTGACAAACAAACAAACAAAAACTTCTTTTAAGTACCAATTTAGGTAATTTCTGAGTCTCTGATGTGGGCTAAATTATGCCAAAACTCATAAAGTCGACAACCCTAGTATCAAAGTGTCACTGTAAAAATAATCAATTAATATTAAGTCTATTGGACTGAGGTGGTTCCCTCCTAATCTAATTTATATAACTGGTACCTTCAAATACAGAGAAATCTGAACACAAAATACACACAGAGAAAACGCCATATGAAGGTAAAGCCAGGAACGGAAATGATGTCTCTTCAGAGCTGTCGGCAACTACCAGAAGAGATGTGGTGTATATTCTTCCTCACAGTACTACAGCTCAGAGTGAACCATCTGCTAGCACCCTCACTTTGGGTTTCTATTCTCCAGTTGTGAAGTAATACATTTCAGTTGGTAAAGCATCTAGCTATGTATGGTTCTGTTTTTACAGCAGCCCCAGCAAGAACTAATAACAGACACCTTTTACTTCTTACATAGAATGTAAATGCATTTTGTAGTCAGCTTCAAATATATCAAAATGATAATACATAATCAGAAAATAAATTATAAAATGAAACATGGAGAATAAAGTTAACATTAGTGTACAAACCTGTAGCTCAGTAAGAACTGCTTTATGCCTTTTGTTGCATTCTATCTTTTCCACTCGTGTTTTCAATTCTGCCAAAGTCTTATCAAACACAGCACACTGTAGAGCACACAATTTTTCTTCCAGTAACCACTGTATGACCTAAGGGGGGAAAGTTCCTTTGTTACAAAAGGGCAACTCAGCAAACAAAAATAGTAAATATTAAGAACTAGTAACAATAATATAAACTTATTTATGAATAAAACAAGGTTAACTAATTTAAAGAATAAAATCCCAAACTCAATGCTACCTGCTGCCATTCACCACTATGTCAAAACAGAAATCCACGCTAAGGATAACATTTCCAGAGTTGAATTCTGAAAATTATTTGAAGATTTTTAATATCTTCTCCTCATCCTCCTTATTATGCTGAACCGACTTTAACAAAATTTGTTAAAAAGAACAGTTTCAAAATTTTTCTAATCTATTAAAGACTGGCAATATTGTGAGATGCAATAAAAATGTCACTGGAGTATCAAAATTGATAAAATATTTCTAAGTGTTTATTCAACTATTGCCTCATCTGAACCACAACAAACAGGACCCTGGCATATCCATATGCCACACCTGAGAAACCTGTTCTAGAGATGGAACTCCTCAACCCACAGGTGTTCATAACCTTTCCCAATTCGAACAGTGCTAGATGCAATACTACCTCAATATGCACAAGAAAAAGAAACTGGGCAGTAATCGCATTTTTTATTACTTCATTATTAATTTTCTTTTTAAAGAAAGCATAGATATTTGTACTATTTGTCCTTGTATCTTAATGGAAGAACTCTGGTTTATTAATCCATGACTAAGACCCTGAAAAACAAAACCAGACTTGGTGACTCACACCTGTAATCAATCACCTGGAAGTTGAGGCAGGAGGACACCTACAAGATTAAAGCCAACCTGGGCTACAGCCTAAACTATTATGAACTAATATCTCATGGCGGGAGGGGAACCTAAGTTTCATGTCTCTCTATAAAAGGTATTTTGAACACATGTTGATGTGGTGCATATGCATGAGTAGGTACATGTGATCATACATGTGCCGATGGACTCCAGAGGTCAACATAAGGTGTTTTCCATGATCACTCTGCACCTTATTTTGAGACAGGGTTGAGCTAGAGTTCACCAACTACCTAGACTGGCTGGTCATTGAAACCCAGGAGTCTCCTTCCTGTCTCAGCTTCCCAGTGTACTTGCTAGAATTACAGGCTTACACCACCACATGTGGCTTTTCATATGAGTGGGGTGGATGAGAACTCAGATTCTTGTGCTTGCATAGTATTTACCCTCTGAGAGGTCTTTCCTTTCTCACACTTTGAAAAATATATGTAACATTAATTATTTTCAATATTTGTATGCTAGCATAGCAGATATAGAGGAAAATTTCAAAAAATCTTTACTCTGAACATTCCCTTTTCCTAGTGTATCTAAAGCATTGTCTCTACCATTCTTTATATTAACATTAAAAAGGTTTAGAATATACCAACTTATAACATATTAAGATTATAGAGATTAAAGTCTACTATAAATATTTAAAATAAATAAAGTTTGTTTCTTCTGTACTGTAAAATAATGTTCAATATAGGAAGAAAAGAGCTCAAGAACTATTCAGTTTTACTATAATAACAAAGAGAGAAATATTACATCTCCCTTTAATTTAAATAATCACTACCGTGTTTTAAAATAAAAATACTGTGGCCAAATAGAGTCAGAGGTATTTAAAAGTGAAGTTAACAAAAATAATCAGACTTCATAGCTTATCATTGTCTTCAAGTTCTGACTGGCTATGTAGACATAGAAGGGATCATGCTAGAAATCTCGAAGCCTGCAGACAGTGATCCTCTGGCACACTGAAATGTACTGTCCAGCACCTTTTGAAGCTTCTGGTTAACATCTCCTTTGGTTGTAATCTTGACCTGGAACTCTGCCTCGTATTCTTCTTCCATGTAGCGCCGACGCTTGGACTGCACACTGTCCATGTCTTCTGATTTAGAACGTTTCCGTCTGGAAACTTCATCTGACAAAACAACAAGAAAACCCCCGCCCTGATCAGCCTGGTGTTTTAGTTACAGGACTCAACACACAGTGTCAGCAGATGCAGCTCTCAGTCGGCCACTGTGTGACTGTGCTTAAGACGGAAGAGCTCAGCAGGCATCCAATGCTCAGCTTTAAAGCTGTGATCATGTTCCGTATGCCAAAGAGAACCTCCAAGCTGCTTAGCAATGCTCACTGAAAACATGGAGCATTCTTTCTTTGAAATTCTCACACTAAGATAGAGAATGCTCTATAGCTTTGTCACGCAGATGACAGGAATTCTCCCATAATCTTCGCTCTACTGAATTTCATAGCACATAGCAACATATAATGGCCATCCTATGCCACAGACTTCTACTATCTATGTATATTCTGAATTGCTTAACTCTTCTTCCTCTGTGAAAACAGGTGCATGGCAGTCATACTGACTGAGCTGCTCCCCAGTCATTCAACCCTGAGGAGCAACTCTAACAGACACTCTTAACATGTCCGAAGAGTTCAGATACATATAGATAGTAAAATTAATGTCATAAAAGTATAATTGGCACAGAATAGACATTCAAAGGTTTCACTTCAAACATTTTCAAATGTTAACATTCATGAAATCGTGAAAAAAAATTTAACTGTTTTTTCAGCATTTCAAAAAGAAAAAAAAAAACACTAATATTCCAACCTTTTATGGTTATACCAATGTTGCTCCATAAATGAAACCTATTTTCTTTGATCTGTAAAATAATGTTCAAGATGAGGGGTAGAGAGGAACTCAAAAAACTATTCATTTAGTTTTATTGTAACAGTAGATAAATATATCCACATCTATCTATGAATTTATTTAATGCAGTTCTATTTTACAACTCTTTAATACAGACACAATAAACCAAAATTAACCCCTGGCTTCTAGCTGACCGATCCTTTCCTAAGTCTACGGCATCAGTTCTAGCATCCGTTCCCTAGGAATCTGTGTACTTAAAAATATATTACCTCTCACAACAGCAAGACAAATTTTCCTGCCCTGAGCTTAAAAACAGCTTAAGACACTTAAAGTGTATGTCTAACTCCTCTCTGTGGAATGATTAACATAAACACATTGAAACACAGGAAAGAACACATCCAAAGACTCTTGAACGGGTCATCAACAAGATCAGTGAACTGTGGCTTCAATTTAACATGGCAGCCCGTCCCGGCTAAGGACCCACTACGAGGAAGGCAGGCGCTGTACATGCATACTTCTCACAGGTGGCCGCTCCCCATCGGGCGCTCGCTCCTCTTCCTCAGCTTTGCTGTCCTTGTCACTCCTTCCCACTTCTGTGAGGACAAATGTAGAAAGGGAACTTTATTATTTCTGCGGAAATTAGTAACAGCTCATTAATTCACATTTCTGGTCACCATTCAGCTACCGAACAAACATTTTACAATATTAAAGTCACAAAACATGCAATCTGGAGACTATGAGAGCACAGACTGAGACGTTCAAGACTAAGGGCACATACCAATTGTGTTTATTCCTAACAAACTCGAGATGAAAACTAACATATACATTTCAAAGCCAACAATTGTACTTAATTTGCCATCACCAGTAACAACTATTATAAAGATTCAGATTTCTTTACTTTCAATTATTCAAACTAAAGCAGACGCAGCAAGGTGGCTCAGAGGCTAAAGGCACTAGCCAGCAAGCCTGACAACCAACTCCCAGGTCTTACATGGTAGACGGAGAGAACTGACTCCCAAGTTGTCCTCTGACCCCCACACACACACTGACCACCTTACAATAAATAAATAAAACTAAAGCAGTAGTTAAGACATTACCAAAATAATGATGATATACTTAACATGCTTATAAATTCTAAAAAACTCAAAGATCTCCTATGCTGAATGACCACTTTTCAGATCTGCCTACTAGATTCATGGCACTTAAGACATGCATTGAGTTTTAGAACAGATTAAAGGATTAGTGTATGCTAAAGTTTTGCATAGAACTCTGTTAAGAAAAAATGTTAACAGATTCTTACTAGGAAGTAGAGCCCATATTTCTTTAACTTTTGTTCAAACATTCTTAGGATTTGAGCAAATAGACCTTTGGGAAGATATAGAAAAGTGTGTGTGCATGCATGAGTGCATACGTGTGTCTACATGCACATGCGTGCATGCATGCATGTGTGTGTATACATGCACATGCATGTAGGCACCTAGAGCCAGAAACAAGTGCTGAATCTCTATAGCAGGTAGTTGTGAGCTACCATGTGGGAGCTGGGAACCCAGCTTTGGTCCTCTGCAAGAGCAGCAAATGAATATTCAGCATTAAGCCATTCATCTCTCTAGCCCCAAGGAAACCTCTTTCAACACAAAATAAGAATCAAAGGCCCTTGTACAGAAACAATTTATGTATCATTCCAGGCAGTGTCAGGGGTTTCTAAAGTCCATCCAAACATAAAGCTTCCTAGTTCACCTGTACATGTATAGAACCTATTCTTCTGCCTGGTGAGCTTGTTCTGATACCTCTGGTCTTCTCAAATACAGCCTTCTCATTAAGTTGCTAAGTTTTCACAGTTCTATCTTCCATGAACTTGGCTCTAGTCTGTCAACACAGACAGTAAGATCACTCAAGGTAGATATCCAGATCTTATAGTTCTGGTAACCCCAAAACCTTCGAGAAAGAGCTCAAATAAAGCACTTTACTATCTTCTTGACAGGTATTACCTTTAAGAGTTAATGACCAAAGAGTACAGGGTCTCACACAGCAGCACTACTGCCACCTTGTGCAGGAATAACAATACTGTAACAACGTGTAAACAAACGGACTTGCCTCTGTCCCAGTTGAACTGTACAAAGCTGATGGACCACAGGCTATAGTCTGTCAACCCCTTAAGATCGAATCCTTAAGGACATTTAAAACAAAACAAAGTCCTACAGGCTATTTGAAAACAACATACCCATTAGGAAAAAAAAAAATAGAGAAAGTAACAGGTAATTCATATATAAGCAAATACAAAAGGCCAATAAACATAGATTTTCAATCTTACAAATAAAATACATCAGGAGAATGTAGCCTTCAGAAAATCTAACTTCTCCAGACATTTTTAAAGCTTTACACTAATAAAAAGGCACAAATACTATCTTCCACATCATTTGTTCTCAACTTATAGGTTATGACCCCTCTGAGGACTAGATGACCTTTCACAGGGGTTGTGAAGACCATCAGAACACACAGATATTTACATTATGATTCATAACAGTAGCAAAATTACAGTAATGAAGTAACAATGAAAATAAGTTTGACTGGGGGTCAACACAACATGAAGAACTGTATTAAAGGGTCACAGCATTAGGAAGGTTGAGAACCCTGTTCCACATGATGTTTGATAATAGACAGGATGGGGTCTAGCAAGGTGGAAATCCAAATTCAAGTAAGCTGAAGACTTACTAGGAGAACAAGGTGCTAACTTTGTAAATGTGGCTGGAAGTCTAGCTCTGAAAGTGAGGATGGACTAGCAGTTAAAAATGTCTATGCTGAAATACATACTGAAGACAGACAGTAAGTAAACAGGAAAGACAAAAGGTGGGATGCAATACCTCCACTAGTGTCTTAACTTTCCAAGAAAAAGATACTATACTAGTCTAGCCTTCTTAGACTATGACTTAAAGTATTATTTATCATTTAGCAATACGCAACAGCTTGTCTCCAGATGTACTAGTACACATTTGTTCTTCTATTTTTATAAAAGTAATGTCTTTTTTCTACTTGTCTTTTGATAGGGTCTCATGTAGCCTAGGCTAGCTTCAAACTACTTATGTAGCCAAGGTTAACCTTGAATTCCTTGGTCCTCCCTCTTCTCCCCTCACACCACCACACTTAGCTGAATTTCTATAATAAGTTATTCAAGGATCACCGATATCAACATTAAATGATCAGGTTCTATTAAACAGTTTATTAAAGCAAATAAAATCCTTAATCAGCTAACCTGGAGAGCTCGGCTTATTTTGTGATATAACTTCGGACTCGGACTCCTCTTTTTCACATGAAATATCCTCTTCATCAGAGAGGACCAAGAAGGCTTCTTTTGGCAAATTCTCACTACTTTCTTGTTTTGATGGTGAGCCAAAAGAACCCTCCATTTTCTCTTCCAAATCTTGACTTGTCTCAACTTGAAGGAGAGAAGTTTTTGAAAAGCATGTGAGTTCATCCTCAGCGGGTGCAAGTTTTTCCAGAATAGGAATGATCTCATCTGTTTCCATAGAGTCTGTGTTGTCTAAGGCAGTCTCCTTCTTGTCTTCTGAAGCATTTTCACTGACAACTTCTACAACTTCTGCAGGACTTTCCCGATCATCTTTTTCACTTTGGTCAACTTCCATACTGCTGGAGATGGCCTCTTCTCCAAGAGCAAGCTCAGCAGTGGGCTCTTCCTCTACCGTCTTCGTATTTTCTGGAGGTAGATCAGAACAAATAATTGCACTATGTGTTTCTAGAGTTTCTTCCTTCTCACCAACATCACTGTTCGTTTTATCTTCCTCATCGAATGAGTCTTTACTTTGAATTTGGTCTAAGTTCTCATTGTCTTCATTTTTTTCTGAACAATCATCATTGTTACTGCTACTCTGCTCTGCCTTGTCAGTTTCAGGAATCGGCTCACAAACTGGCACAGCACTTGATTTAAAAGTATCAGCGGCTGATTCCGCAGTCAGCTCACCGGGAGCCAGCTCACCGGGAGCCAGTCTGCTACAGGCAGGACCACCAGAGGATTCGTCACGAGAAGGCAGGTCATCAGAAGGCAAATCACCAGAAGGAGCACAATCATCACAAGAGGCTTCCCCAGAGGCCAGTTCACAAGATGCCACTGCACCAGCAACTGGTTCATCTGAAACTGGTTCATCTGAAGCTGGTGCACCAGACAGTGGTTCACCAGACAGTGGTTCACCAGACAGTGGTTCACCAGACAGTGGTGCACCAGACAGTGGTGCACCAGACAGTGGTGCACCAGAGATGGAACCACCAGAGGCAAGATCATCAGAGGCAGGTTCTTCAGAAGTAGTATCTGCAGAGGTGGGGTCACGGGAGGAGGGATCACTTGAGGGGGACTCCTCACAGGGAGAGTCACCAGTGGCTGGTACTCCAGCAGGCAGCTCTCCTGCAGTCAGGTCTCCAGAGGCTGGGCTACCAGAGGCTGGTTCAGTGGTGAGTGTAGAAGCAAGCCCAGAAGTTACACTAGGAGACAAAGACTCACTATTTGAATCCTCTTCTTGCTTGTTTTTCACACTAACACTGGAAACACAAGGTGTTTCTTTCACTTCTGTTTTACTTTCTTCAGACTCAGAACAAACCCCTTCGATACCATTCACTTCTTCTCTCTCTGGACTACACTCTGCACTTTCTAAAGGTGAAGTGGGCCCCAAATCTCCGTTTTCATGGTTCCCGTTCAAAAGCTTCACGTCGGTTTTCAGCAGCTCTTCTTTGACTTTGTACACTGCTTCGAGCTGCTGACGATCACTCACTCTCATTGTTTTTCGAGCCTTGAAGACTTTCTTCTGAGGTTCTTCTATACTATCCATTTTGAATCTTCAAAGAAAAAGAAAGAAAAGGATTTTAATAATTGAGACAAGTCATTTAATTACAAGTTTACTGAAAAATTAAAGTGAACATTTAGCTCATATAAATTTGAAACAATGATAAATAAAAAACATAATCCTTGCCGGGCGGTGGTGGCGCACGCCTTTAATCCCAGCACTCGGGAGGCAGAGCCAGGCGGATCTCTGTGAGTTCGAGGCCAGCCTGGGCTACCAAGTGAGTTCCAGGAAAAGGCGCAAAGCTGCACAGAGAAACCCTGTCTCGAAAAAACCAAAAACATAATCCTTGCTATGTCTTAGTTTTCATATTTACTAGATTGATATAACATAAAATTGAGAGACGACACCGTGCACACCAGAACATCAATTGCTAGGAAAACGAAGAGGGAAAGGAGCTAGTTTTTACTCTCAATACAGAATAAAAAATCCAGAGAAGCAGCTGGGTGGTGGTGGAGCAAACCTTTAATCCCAGCACTTGGGAGGCAGAGGCAGGAGATCTCTGAGTTTGAGGCCAGCCTTGTCTACAGAGCGAGTTCCGAGACAGCGGGACAGTCAGGGTTATACACAGAAACCCAGTCTTGAAGGGAGAAAAAAAATCCAGGTATGTTTCAGGAGCATGAAAAAAGCACACACAGAAAATGGGTGCTGGGAGCCAAACCCAAGTCATCTTCAAAAGCAGCAAGTGCACTTAACCACTGGGCCATTTCTCCAGCTTGGTTTGTAGGTTTGGAGAAAGTGGGTAATGGATGCTAAAGAGTACAGGATTCTTCTATGGAAAGTAAAAATGTTCTAACATTCATTGTAGTGATAGCTACACAACTCTGTGAGTCTACTGAAAACCCACTAATTGTATATTTTTATGGATGAATTTTATGTATAATTCATAAATATAAATATTCAATAAATATAAAAGGATAAAAAGTACATATACTGTAGTATGTCCTCTTTTTTGGTCAATTGTGTTAGAGTCCTATCAACTCTATCTGTTTACCAAAGAATAGACTGTTATCCTTATTAATGCTTCTGGTCTGCATCTGCTTTGGACTTTTGCTGGTTTCTCCTCTATATCATCTCTTCAACTTTTTGGATGGGTTTAATTTGCATCTGAGGAGTTAATTTTTCAGTTGCTGTGATAAAATATTCTTTGACAATATCAACTTGGGGAGAAAGGGTTTGTTTTGAAGCACAGTTCAAGAGTAGAGTCCATTACCATGGGAGGTCAAGGCAGCAGGAGGTTGATGTGGCTGGTCACACTGCATCCACAATCAGAAAACAATAATGAACACTTTTTCCTTTATGAGACAAGGACCCGGCCCAGAGAATGGGGTGACTCACAGGAGGTGGGTCTTTCTACCTCATTAACCTAATCAAGATAACCCACCCACCAGCACATCCCAGATGCCCCCAGCTCAGGTGATTCTAGAGCTAAAATGACAATGGAGACTAACAACAGTAACATCTTTTTTCCTTGTGGTTCAAGTTTAATCACTAATTTTCAATTAAATTTCATCTTTCATAATGTGTGCACAGAAAGCCTAACTGATGGTTTTTCCTTAAAATTAGTGAGACTGTGGTACTATAATGTTACTGCTTAAACTGGAGGAGTATAAGGTTATTAGGGTGGGCTATGCGACTATGCACAGAATCAAACCACATTAAGGCAGGAGCTGTGCTATCACAAGCCAAAGAATGAGAAGAATCTAGGAGACGCGTCTGGACAAATGCTCCGTCAGGACCTTCCAAGAAAACATGCCTTGACAACATCTTTTGAACTTATAGTCTGTAAAATTAAGACAATATGGGGCGGGGGTGAGGTGGATTTACCACATAAACACAATAGTGAGAGAAAGACATAAAATATCCATTAGACAATATTCAACATTACCTCATAATGAAAAATAAGACATTTAAAAACAAAAGGGAATTTACTCAAATCTGATAAAAGGTTTTCAAGATGTAGATGCTACATTTAATGATGAAATGAGATTAAAGGAAGAGAGAGAACCAAAGCATCCCATATCACCATTTTTATGTAAACATAAACATTCCTGCTTGGCATGTGAGCTCCTGGATATGATCCCCAGCACCACTGAAGGGCAGCATTGCCAGCTGTAGAGAAGACAGAAGAGGGGGGCTGGAGGGGGAGAGGAACAGCGAGATCATCCATAGCGGAGTAAAACACATGTACATGTGCACGTGCGCGCGCACACGCACACACACATACACACACACACCACACACACACTTTACTTACTGAAGTACTTACTGCCCAATGTCACCCAATCAAGAATGAGGCTCTACTTCTTAAACTCCACAAACCACCTAATTTACACTATATCAAACCAGCTGTGAACACTGTCACTAATATAAAATAAATCAACCCAAGGTGTTAATAACAAATGTCTTTCAATAATAAGCCCGACCTATCTGTCAGAGACCAATACCGCTCAAAAGGACACAGCATTTTGTCAAAGAATGTCTAGATTGTGTTACAGTCTACATTCACTTTTTTGAATTTAATTCAATAATTTAAACATTTCTTAGTTTTAAATTAAAGAACTTCTTAGAAAAATTATCTTTCAACTATATAGAAATCTTCAAACAAAATCAACACTGGCACTATTTTAAGAGTCTAGAACTTAAAGTTTTTCCTTCCTCATCCACTTCAAAGTCATGTTACCTACACATTTTTCTGCATAGAAGATACAAAATTTATGGCCTACTCCTTGGTGCGGAGCTAGAACCCAAGGCTTATACACACTAATCAGTGCTCTACCAATGACCTCTATCTATCCGAGACAATACAAGCTTGGTACTCACATTGCTGACTATAAACATAGGAAATGTAGTTTGGTTCCCTTGAAATATGTTCAAATACTGAAGTGTCATTCCTTTAGACTTTGAAATATCTATTTTCAGATAGTCTATGCATAACCAAGTTATCATTATTTACATTAAAATTAAACATTTAAAAAAATTTCATAGCTTTTCAAAATGCAAATAAGAAATGAACTCTGCTGAGAGTTGTGAATATGAACCCACTTCTCCCAGGATGTAAACTGAATTTCATATTTAGTTGGCCCAACACTTCCAAACTCTTCATTTAAAGTACCTTAAAAGGAAGTCTATCCACACACAGGCTTAGCTGAGAATTAAACGATGTGACTAATTAATAACATTAATTCATATTAAGTAAGCCAGGCAAAGTGGAGTACACCGGTAATCCTAGCATCTGGGAGGCCAAGGCAGGAGGATCATCACCACAAGTCTGAGGCCAGCATGAGTTACAGTCAGTTCCTCTCCAACCTTCGCTACAGAGTGGGGCTCCACCAATACAAATGTACCAAGTGCTCAACATTATTATCCTTGTTAGCCTATTTCCTCTGGGTATTTCTAGGCATAACTTTCAGAATCTGAGACAAATTAAGTAACACTGACGTGTGTGTGTGTGTGTGTGTGTGTGTGTGTGTGTGTGTGTGTGTGTGTGTGAGAGAGAGAGAGAGAGAGAGAGAGAGAGAGAGAGAGAGAGAGAGAACTAGAAAACCCAGTGTAAATAACAATTAATATTAAACTGTCACCACCAAGTAACACTTAATAAAAATAAATATAATCCAAGTCAAGCTGGTTTTTAGCAAAAAAGCCATTAACTTCAGTAATACTAACCAAAAAAATTGCCAGAAGAGAATAGGGAACTACCTTCCATACCCACAAGGGAGCACACTACAGTCATTTACAGGATTTTCATAGTTCTAAGCATAACAAAAAACAGACAAAGCAGTAAGAAGTAGCATGAACAACCAGTTCAAACTAGTCCAGCCATTCTGTGCAAACCAATCAGCAATCTGCTTTGAGAAATCTATTTTGCATAAGCAAAGCTCAGTAGGAAAAATATACATGAGTGAAGGGCGTGTTGGCTGCAAACAAGTCTCCATGGCTGCATTAGCAGAAGGTATTCCTAAGGCCCATTTTAAACACTGTCATCTGTACATACTCTGTAAAATAAATGCTCCTTCTTATGGCAGCCACACTAGTCACAGAACATTCACACAACTTCAACTCATTTACAGAAAAGCCATTTCTATTTTATAGCAGAAAATGTCTGCCATATCTAGAAACAGCAACACGATACAATGAACTAGTCTCTCCTGGAAGTACTTTTTTTAATGAAAAAGAAGAGTTTAAAAATAGAATGTTTTAAGCCCTTATTTTACATATTCAGATCGAAGAATTCTGGAGAAATGTTATGAACATTTTTCTATAGAAATTTATATGTAAATAACTAGAGAAATAAATGGGTTACAGAAAATATGTCTCTCTATGGCTTGTAATTTTTTTTCAATTTTTTTATAAATTCTTTTTAAGGAAAGCCCAATGAGGCTCTTCTTTAAATGAAACATTTTTTCTGTGTTCCACTCCCCTTCACCCACTTCTTTCACTTTCTTTCTAACAAGAAATCACAGCCATGGAACAAAGGGAAGCTGTTTTATCTTGGCTTATAATCTTCCTGCTCAAAACACTCAAGAATTTAAATGGCTGTTCAAGAGCTACATACAAACTCAGCCAATCAGCAGCCAGAATTCTGATTCCTGCCCAGCAACAGGAGACAGACAATAAGGTCAGAGAAACAGAGTTAACAAAACCCGATCTAAAATACTGCATTGTAGTTCTTTGTCTGAAATAATAATCTAGAACACAGATTTCGTGTCTTAAATCCATGATATCTATTAAATACACAGCACAAGTGAATAAGATTTACATCTTTTATGCTACTTTATCGCGCTCTAGTATTGATCATAAATGTTTCTAAAATATAATTTCCTATCTGAGGAATCCGTCAAACAGGGACAACACATAAAAATATCCTTTCTACACAGTGAAATTCAAACATACTTTCTTTTAGAAGATTAATAGTTTTTGTATTTATAAGACATTTATAAATAAAACCCATCAAAATATTAAATCCAAATAATTAAGATGCTTTCTCATACTATG